AAATTAAAACAAAGCAGACGCATTTACATGTAGGATTTATTTCATAACAAAAATAGTTTTAACATTACAAGACATTAGTAAAAGTATCAATTTTTGGTTACGTTCTTTTTGGCTTTATAGTAAAACATACATTGCATTGTTGACTGGGAAAAACGCATTTATTGTTGCGTACTGGCTTTAGCACGATCATATGTTTTGAGATAAACCAAATCAGCTGGTTTATGATTTCCAATGCTATTCTTATATAGATCATTTACGAACATTTAACTGTATACAAAATATATGGGAATTTCACTATTTCTTTCTCACGTAAAGATCTTTAATTTGGGTCCTCTCGCGTTTTTTCTACGACTTACGAAATTAAATAGATAGATCTTTCCGTAAACAATCAACGGTTTTCTCTATAAGAATGACATTGGACTATTAAGTGTTGGGCCTACAGCTGATTTTTGGAATTATCGCTGTAAGCCTAAAGCCTACAATAACTCTTCAATGTACAAAACTATGTGTATTTTTAAGGTCTACGCGATGGTTTTAATGAAAGCTGAGCATTTTATGTTAAGGGTAAACGTATGAAAAAAACAATTATTTTGGAACAAATAAAACTCCAAAACACCTAATTCTCATCACATGATAGGTTCCGGGTCCAAGTCTGACCATGTTACCTAGTAGTTTCACTAACTGACATTATTAAATCAGTTTAATCTACCTTCCTTTAACTTCCACAAACTTAGGTTAAGAATGCAACTATCAACAGGAACAAGTCAGATCAACAATCAAATTGGTCAACTGATCAGCTGATCAGCTGATTAGTTGACGTTTGAAGCATTACAATTTTAATTCTTTTCTCTCAATACTTGAACCTCATTGGTCCGTTACCTGTGTTGATATGAGAAAAACTATGCTGATATGAAATGAAACTATGCTGATATGAAAGTAAACAGCTGTTAAGTGAAACTTTTCAATTCTAAGGACTGAACTGAAATGGCTACTTTAAAAAACGGTCGTAGGTAAATGATATTATCTACTCAAATCCATATACAGGTAATTGAGAAATGGCTGTATTAAGTATAAAAGCATGGTTATTTTTGAAAAACATAAAATTATTTTTTGGGAAGCTAATTTTTAGACTTGGAACATTTGATATGGCACCATCATACTTCATTTACTTTGCACTTACACCAAAAAATTTTTGTCACACTGAGAAAAAACAGTACAAAAATATTTGGAAAAATTCAAGATGGCGGCCAAATCTCGAATTGCCCAAAGGTGACAGAATGTCATCATGCATTTTCTTGAAGCTGTATATGTCCTAGTAACTATCCATAAATAAAAAAAAACTTAATCCAAAATTTTTGGGTTTTGGGCTTGGCAACCGGACTATTACAATGATGCAACGAAACAAACAATTGCACCACTCAACAATTGAATTGACGTGAACAGCTGATTAGTTGATCTTCTAATCGTAACAATTTTACTTCTTTTTTCTCAATCCTTGAACCATTACCCGTGTTGTTAAGTAAAAATATGCTGTTATGTAAGTAAACAATGCTGTTATGTGAAACTTTTTAAATCTAAGAACTGAACTGAAACTTTAGTGTGATTCAGCCCAGGGAAACTGGACACATAATTGTTGGTAACAAAATTAAAATTAAATTATAAAACACGATGATGAAGTAATTAATAAATAATAAAACAAAATTGAACTTGAAAAAAACTTTAAGGAAGCCTTTGTGAACACCACCTAGTTTATTTAGGCTAGGTGTATAACTGGTATACAAAACTGCCATGTACAAAGCATATACTATTTATGTGATTGGCTAATATATGATTTATTTCTACCACACTATAACTATGACTTTGGGTACGGTACCTTTTATGACAGTAACTGATGTCCTATGATTTCAAACTTCCCATACCCAGGATAGTAACTATTTGAATGCCTAAGAAATGTTTTACGAAATCGTCATAACCACTTTTAAAGATATTTTTGAAACAGTTCATACACAAAACTCCATCCCAAACCTCACCGACTGACCTAAATACAATGTTAACAATTTACACAACATCATCGACACTGCAAATTGATGTAAATTGAAACAGGAGGAAAAGTGCAAGTGTTTCCTTAAATGCATTTTACTGTGAAATTTGAAATGTGCATATTTATGATTGATAGGTCTTGGGAACATTTGGAAATCACCATGATTTGTATACGCAAGGTCGAGGGGACATATCTAATTGCTCTACAGAGATCAGTCTTTGGCCAACTTATGTTTGATCGAATTCCCCACAGGGGATTCCTTTTTGCTTAAAGGGAGGTAGATTAAACTGATTTAATAATGTCAGTTAGTGAAAGTGAAGTTGACGAGATGGAAATGAGAGAACAAACTGTTTATAATATTCTATAATATTCGATGCTGAGATCTAACTGTAAATTAACTGTTTCACTATAATCATTCAGTTGACAAAAACAAAATGCAAAATTTTCCTAATTGTACCTGATGCAGTACGAGTATTTATGGTAAGAATGCTGCTAGCAGAACACATTCCCTGAAAAAGGTAACGTATTTTTTTAACGAAGTTTTACAAACACGTAATAACAGGAAATCAGCTGATTGTACAATAAGTCGTTGCATCACTTTCCTTTCATTGGCACTGACAATAAACGAAAACATAACCTCTCTAAGAAGTAATGAGTAGTGATTTTTTGTAATTAAAAACCAGATTGTTAGTAATTAAAAACTGTCGTTGGTAAAGTAGTGTACGCAACTCGCGTTAATAGTCTTTACGATACTCGTAGAAGTTTTTAAGGCACTCGCCAAGGCTCGTGCCATAATTTTCTACTCGTGTCGTAAAGACTAACTTAACGCAATCGTTGCGTAAACTACTATTACGTGTTCTACATAAAATTTTGAACAAGAATAATAGAAAATGACGGAGGATCAGTTGTAAAAACTCCATTGTAAATAGATTCAAAGATAAAAATTAAGATGTTTCATAAAAAAACAATGATCCATTGCATTTTTTACACCCTGTATACAAGAAAGTGCCAGAATATGTTAAAGACTGCGCCATTTTATAAGCTTTCCAACCATATGTACACTATTGAGGTTTAGATATTTTTTTGTTTGTTTTAGTGGTTTGAATACCAGAAAACAGGAAACTTTTTTACTGTTTTTATTGTTGAAGCTGAAACAAAAATACAACTTTTGCTTAATACATGCCGACTTTCTATGTTTTAAATGTTAAAACATAGAAAGTGTTTAGTAAGTGTGTAGTAAATATACCACCACAGAAAATCTACAGACTAAGCAAATTTCCATTTGTATCCAAAATGTATCTAATCTATAAAAACCTGAAAGTATATAAATACATCAAATAACACTTATAACAATACTAGCATAGCACCCGTCCTTTGTACGGGGTTAGCATATAAGTATAAAATGCTTATTGCAGTTATACTCAAGCTTTGCGTTTGCAATGGGGGGAGGACACAGTTTGATAAAATTTGGCTCATAAATTTACGGTATGATATGGTATAACACATCTACCATTGCTATAATGTTCTATCATTACACCTATACAATAGAAACAAATAAATTATCAAACATTCGCACAATATCACAAATTATTCATTAAATTAAAAACTCAAACCTAACTATAAACAATCCTACTTTGACAGTTCTCATTGTGTATCACAGCTTTTTGTTGCTGCTTGGTTCAAATTAGCTGTTGTCATATATGCACAAACAAAATAATAATAGTGCTGCACCCTGTTGGGAAACCTTATAACTTTTTAATGCTATTGCATATTATAGAACCAACTTGTAAAGTTGAAACAGCTGACTAAATTCTTTAATTCCCTTTAAATATGAACTAGTAAACACGTTGCTCGAAATCGAGCAATTGCAAAGAAGTAAAGTAGTTATTTGAAAACAAATATAAGTCATCATAATTTCCGATAAGTTAAAAAGACTTTGAATTGGAAAATAAATAACAGGAATTAAATTATACAGCTGATAAAAATGTAAACATTTATGTTCTTCATAAGGATAACATGGAAACTTTAACAGCCACTGGGTCAGAGCCCAAGGGACTTTTTCAAAAATGTAAGGTCAGTTTGCAAATCTTCGCGACACACACTTTCCAATGAACCGTCAATGGATAAAATCGGTTAAGAAATGGCGGAGGAGTTCAACCGACAAAGTTTCATGTAGCGTATTAATTATATAGGTAGATCCTCATAAGGTTAACATGGAGAACTACAGACCCACTGGGGCGGAGCCCGAAAGGATTTTTGAGATAAGAATATGCCTAAATGTTAATATGGAATGTTAGTTATCATCATGCCAAATTTCAGCCCAATCCGTCCAGTAGTTTATGCGTGATTGAGCAACACACAAACATACACACAAACTTTCAGATTTATTATATTAGTAAGATATTTACACTTATACTGTTTACTCACAAGACAGTAAATAAATACGAAAGATGGTAAGTGGTGATAGATTTTGATTGGACACTCTAATCATCATCAGACCCAATAGGCGAATTACAAGAATCTCAAATGGCGTCCCTTATTGGCTACGGTAAGTACAAAAACAAGCACAAAAAATCAATTTAAAATTGAACATGGGCGTTATGGATGCTGGTGACGAAATAACAACGAAATATAAATTGCATATCAAATCAAAATGGAACAAATTCCAATCCCATGTTTTATTTACAGTGGGGGGTGAAAATCAAGAAGTCTGTACATTACAACTTTTTGATAGAGTTTTCGACCACTGGACCACCTCTAGTTGTGGACCAAGGACTACGTAAAACAACAAGATAAATCGACCTTGCGTACAAATCATGGTAATTTACCGAATTTCTCTTATAGCGATCAGTCACAAATATGCACATTCAAAATTTCCCAGTAAAGTACAATTATTCAGGAAGTGGTCTTGATCTTTTGTTTCCATTAACATAGTTTTGCAGTTTTGATGAGGTTTTGCTTCTCTTGTAGGTCAGGAGTGTAGTTTCAAACATAGTATTCAGTTCGTTCAGTGAGGTTTGCGATTTAGTTTAGTGTATGAACTGTTCCAAAAAGTTGTTTAAAGGTTGTTTCTTCGACTACACAACATATTACTTAGGCATTCAAACTATCTTGCATATGGAAAATGTGATAATCAGCCATCAGCTACTCTGTCATAAAAGGTACCGCACACAAAGACATAGTTGTAACAGTGTGGTAGAAATAAATCATATATTTATTAGTTAATGACATAAATAGTATGAGTTATGACCCATGATTTTTAAATTTGCTAGACAGTGTTGTATACCAGATTATACATTTAGCCTGAATAAATAAAATTATACTTTTATTTCTTTATTGTAGAGAATCATGAAGATTTTGGTTATGCTATTATATTCATAGCTTAAAAAAGTTAAATCGAGTATTATCATAATTTCCGTCTGTCATTGTGCCTGTGACCCCAAACTGCCAAAAATTACATTGTCTATTCCAATAAAACTAGAGCACTGATCAAAATTACAAAATTACAAAATCACCAATAATAGCCAATAATCATTTACAGCGTTTTAATAATTGTCATGTAAAGTAAAAAAACACAACTGCGATAGGTAATCATGGGTGTTGCTGCGATTGCAGGTGATTTTTTACAAATTATTTTTAACTACAGAGAAGTAACATTTACTATTAGTCCGATGGAAGGTTGATAATGTTCGACCATTCAAACATACATTATTCATTGATAATGTTCTAAGTCTGGTTTTTTTTTCTTAGATAATACATTCCTTCTCATAACAGCAAAATGCCTTCTGAAGAAAGCTTTGATTTATCCGAGCTGTTGGGTGATTCTCTGAGCCTTCAGAACAACATAGCAGCTCCTGCAAGATACAGCCACACTCCTAAGCTAGATGACTACTATGACAAGTTTGTGCTTAGAGATCCTTACGAAATATTAGGAGAGAGAGACTTCCAGAAATGCGAGAGAGTAGAGAGTGCAGTAGGCACTCCTATCCAGGAGTTCTACCGAGGAGCGAATGTGCTCATCACAGGAGCAACAGGATTTGTAGGCAAGATTTTGACAGAGAAACTGATCAGATGTGTTCCCAACATTGGTCATATTTATCTACTGATTCGAGGAAAGAAAGGAAAGTCATCCGAGGAGCGTTTTGAATCCCTTTTAGAAGATATGGTAAATATAATATATTATTTTATATAATTAACCAAATATACTTGTAGTAGTTGGGTGAAAACTTTGAGTCTATCTAAAAATATCTAATAGTAAAATATATTCTTAGTCAAAATATTAAAGCCAATAGCCAGTCAAGAAAATAAATGTAAATATTTTTTTTTTAAACACAAAACCTTTATTTTAAATCCATCTATATGACACATTAACATGAACCTCTCTAAAATATTACTGTATTTTAAAATATGAATGCTGCTTATTTGTTTATGAACTTGTATAATGGTTAGCTTTAATAGAGTATGGTTTTCCGTACATCAGTTCTAATTCCAGGTGTTCCGTCGCATGAAGGCTGAGGTGCCGGACTACGCCTCCAGACTGACAGCTGTTGAAGGAGACATCGGCACTCCCAACCTAGGACTGAGCCCTGAGGACCACCACCTCCTCTGTGATGTTGTCAACATTGTGTTCCACAGCGCCGCGGATGTCCGCTTCATAGAACCTCTCAAGGCAGCTGTCAGCTCCAACGTCCTGGGCAGCCGTCGTGTCCTGGAGCTGGCCAAGGAAATGAAAAACCTCTGGGTAGGTGAAGCGTGCGGTATGAAAAAATAGACATGACGTAATGAAAATTTTCTTTTAATAATTTTTTACTTCATTAATTTACGCTATTTATTGGTCATCCGCGATTCCATAGATGAACAGATGGTTTGTCTGTGGATTGTTAAATATTTTTTTTAAATGACATGAAATGTGTGTCCAAAATTTGTGTTCCTCGGTCATGTATCTTAAGTTTATATCTTAGAATGTCTGGCTCATGAGGTGTGTGACACCATATGATAAGCCCTGTAGAATTTGTTCCAGGTACACAACCTCGAACTTGTACCTAAGACATTTATTTCATAAAGGTGTACGTTACCTGTGCGCTGGCCTTTGCACTTGGGACTGTCCAGTGTCCACTGTCACTCTCCACTCCACACTCTTCTCTCCACCCTAACATCTACTCTCCACTCCACTCACAACTCTCCGCTCCACTAACTACTCTCTACTTTACTCACTGCTCTCGATCCTAACCTCAACTCTCCACTCCACTCACAACTCTCGGCTCCACTCACTACTCTCTACCCTAACATCTACTGTCCACTCCACTCACAACTCTCGGATCCACTCACTACTCTCTACCCTAACATCTACTGTCCACTCCACTCACAACTCTCGGATCCACTCACTACTCTCTACCCTAACATCTACTCTCCACTCCACTCACTACTCTCCACCCTAACATCTACTCTCCACTCCACTCACAACTCTCGGCTCCACACACTACTCTCGATCCTGAACTCTTCTCTTCACCCCACTCTCATCAACTCTCCACTCCACTCTACTTACTACTTTGCGCCACTTAAGTTGATAGTTACTAATTTGTCGTAAGTTAGTAATTAAAAAATCCAAATACAGTTCAATCAATAGGACAAAAATATATGGTTATTTTTCCAAATTTTCAGTGTTATGCATGATCTCGTTATCAAGCTTTTATTGATTTGTAGGCTTACGTGCATGTTTCCACCGCTTACAGTACCTGTGTGAGAAGGGTTGTGGAGGAAAAAGTGCCAACAATGAATGTTTACTACAAAGAGATGCTGAAATATATTGAGTCTAAAAGTGATGAAGAGCTTAAAGAAGAAACACCTAGGTAAGAGAAAACACTTTATAAAGGTTTGTGTGTTAACCACTGAGCTATATTTAATTATAACTGGAGTCATCACTCTGTGTTTAAAAAGCGTACCACCATTCGCTAAAAACCAGAAAAAATAGTGGTACCCTACTCATGGTAAGACCTGGACCCGGGACCGATTTTCTTTCTCGTTTTGAGGTCCCTATAGAGGCCAAAAACACCATCCGTTCAAATTCATATATATATAGTGTCCGTTAGCGCGATAGCTCGTGTAAAAATTATCCAATTTTGATGAAATTTTAATAAAAACGTGTAAACCTACGTTTATTTAAACGAGTTTCTTGAACCAGCATGATCAAACTATGGGAACAGGGGTTTATATGGGTTAAAATTGGTTTTTCCCATTTTTTACCCTGAAAACATAAAATTTAGCAAGTTCTTTTCAAACCATTTTGTAGAGCATAAAAAAGCAAAAATTAAAATTGCTCAGTCTGTAGGTTTGCTGCAGCAGGTGGATTGCTTATTTGAGCTATTTAAATATGTAAATCCTACCCAAAAAAATGTTAGTGTTTTAGCCTTTTTAAATACAACAAAAATTTATCAGACATTGTTTTTTCTCTAGATTACTACAAGGCTGGCCAAACACCTATGCATACAGCAAAGCTCTTTGTGAGGAAATGATGGAGGAAGAAGCTAAGGATCTTCCTGCTTGCATATTCAGGCCTTCTATAAGTATATAACATAAATACTTCCTAACTTATATACAACATCTAGTTTATAAAGTTATTTACTAAAACTAATAGTTTTGATTATGATTTGCCAGTTAGTGTGGTAAAAGGGGCTCTTCTTATTCTATCTTCATTTCACTAACACTAACACTACTATCTATTATTTATAAAATATTTAAACGTGCCCGTTGTATCGTGGTCAGTTCAAATAAGTGAAGAGACCACATTAGTGAATGAAAGTTATAAAATATTCAAGCACATCTAATAAACACATTAAAAATAACATCAGCTCTACAACTTTCAAATTAATCTACCACAAGCTACGACATTTACAATCCAGCAACAAACCAGCAACACTACAATGATCAAAACATCGGTGTGGACATCAGCACATCACAGGCCACTCACTCTTGGAGCTTGTGTGGGTAACAACGTGCCAGAGCATGTCGTGCCAATGTATAAAAAACGCACGGTGTACCATGCACGTGAGATGTGTGGGCCGCTTTAGTCTGAAGGTTTGCTAAGGCGATGGTATTATATTTTGTTGTAACGACCAAGTCACCAGGTGTGGCCATAGCCTAGGAGGGAAAGGTTTTTATCTTCTGTCACATATTGAGTATTTTCAGTTGTCTCCACGTACCTTGAGCCTGTGAGGGGATACACGGACAATCTTTATGGACCAGTGGGACTCATGGTAGGTGGAGCCCACGGTGTTATTCACTGCTCAAATTTAAATGGAGACTTGACCATCGATATAATTCCTGTGGACTATGTGGTCAACTGTATGATTGCAGCTGCTTGGAAAACAGCTGATGAGAAGTGAGTTTGAACAGTTGGGACTTACATTATATAATAGCCTACCTATTAAGTTTACAATGGGGCTCATGAAACCTTTATTAATGTATCTTTGATTGTTTTAGGTCTTAATCTTTTATTTGCATTTTTCATCAATATTTGTTTCATCTTAACTTCTCCTTTCCTAAATAATTCATGTCCTCATTTAGCTTTGTGAGTTATCTTGTTAATACATACAGTAAGTTAACACAGATTAAAGGCAACATCTGTAAACCCCCACCCTATTGTATTGTACCATTAACAAAGAAGTATGTGAATCCCGGGGCCAACAAATGTTAGGAGAAATTATTTTTCCCTTTTATTTTTGTTGGTTGTTAATAAGCTAAATAGGGTAATATAGAAGTAGAATAAAATTTAATGTGTACTACGAGCACAAACAGTCATTTTAGTTCTCAAAATGTATGGATACGGTAATGAACTGACATCATCCAGTAAAATTGCAAACTTTTTCCCTCTTCTTTCCTTGCTAAGTATTCAAATAAAATAACCTTACCATACGCAATAAATTAATGTATAAAGTACACCGAAAATGGTTTTTGTTAACAAATACCTTTACCTCATACCTTGCTTGACAAAACTGTGGGTATTCTATTAAAAGCCTAGACATTATAAACAATGGTTGTTTAAACATTACATTCAATTCTTCGCAACCATCCAAAATTGTATGGCGTAAAGTTAAAATCTTGGGCTAGGGAAACAATTTGATTCTCAGCCGGTACACATTCCTCTTAATGAGTTAAACGTTTACTTTTCTTGCAATCAAAATACCAACTAGCATCAAGTTGACAGTTACTTGAAAGAACTAGTTAACTCTCCCACCCCGCGCCTGAGATATCCTGAGTTTAATTTTAAACCAGTTATTCAGTCTGATGTTTTGATGGCTATCTGCAGAATCCGAAGCAATGCTGTCGGTTCTGATGGTATACTTATCTGTTTTATCAAAGACATCCTCTACACCATCCTCCCTACTATCACGTTCATTTTTAATGCATCTTTAAGGCATCCGTCGCCTAAATAAGATCTCAGCTCCAACCTTGGTTGGGGATTTCAGGCCGATAAGTATTTTGCCCGCTCTATCTAAAGGTATAGAAAGAATAGTTTACTGTCAAATCACCGAATTGATCACTGAAAATAATTAACATTTTATCTGACTATCAATCAGGATTCAGGACAGCACACAGTACAGAGACAGCACTCCTTCAAGTGACTGAAGACATAAAACTTGCTATGGAGCGTCGACAATGAACGGTTCTAACTCTATTTGATTTTTCTAAAGCATTTGGCTATGTTAATCATGACTTGCTGGTTCAGAATAACAGGCCATAGGGTTTTCCCAAAATTCTCTTAGATGGCTGAGATTATCTGTCAGATAGGCAGCAATGTGTGGAGATTGGTGACATGAGATCAGACTGGGTGACTGTTACATGCGGTGTGACTCAAGGGTCAATTCTTAGGCGTGTGCTAGGGGTTTCTTGGTGCGTTTTCTGTTTCCTTGTATGCGAGAGTGTGTAAATGTGTTTTTTTCTTTTGTTTAATTTGCATGTTTTTTTCCTTTCTCTGAGAAATGTACTTAAATTATTAAATATGTTTCATTAGACTAAGTAATCCCATTGTATTATTATTACTATATTTTTATGATTGCCAGGTTTAGTGTAATAAAGGGCCAGGTGTCCCTAACTTTGCATAAAAAATAAAGAATTTTTTATTTAAATTTTTTTTTCATTTTAATTTTAATTGATACTCTAATTGAATGCCTTGTCAAATTTAAGGAATTTCTGTGTATTATTATTACAGTACTAAATTTGCAAAATGCCTGAAATAAGGTAATTTGCCAGTTAAGAGGTAATCTTACTATTAGAATAGCTCACAATTTTTGTCTTGAAAGAATTTTGTGCTGATAAAAGTTTGCTTCCAGGGATGAAAGCACAAACTCAATGAAAGTATACAACTGTGCTGCAACAGCTGTTAATGCTGGTATAAAATGGAAGGCTGTGATTGACTTTTATTGGAAGTATATAGATGTTTGGCCCTTTGATCGTTCAATTTGGTATACTTCTGCTTTCTACACAGAAAACTATTATATATACATTTTTTTCTGGTATCTGCTACACAGAATACCAGGATATTGTTTTGACAAGTTGGCTGAACTGACAGGGAACACACCTGGGTAAGGACCAATTTGTACAATTTGGCTTCAGAAAAAAGTAAAAACATGAACACCTAAACAGCTCTTTTGAATTTTGTAAAAAAAAAACGCTGAATGCAGCATGTGTTTTGTGATTTTTCTAAGGCATTCAGTGAATTTTTAACTTCTAATTCAGAAACTAAGTAAAATTGGAATCACAGATAATATTTTTCAATGGTTTGGCAACTTGTCAACAAAGAACTTTCATTGTAAAAAATTGAATAAAAGTACTATTCAGGTTTTATAAATATTGAATGCGGGATTCCTGGTTCAATTTCAGGGCCATTATTGTTCATAATTTATTACAATGACTTAACGCAAAAAATTAATTCAGAACTAATACTTTTTGCACACGATACTACTACTTTTGTGAAGGGCAACTCAATGTCGGACGTGCAAATTTCAATAAAAAACCTTGAAGACCTCCAAAAATTTGGTAAAGGTCCTTCATATACAGGCCAAAACCTGTATAGTTATTTACCGGAAGAATTTACAATTTAAACAATTGGCAATAAATTTTTTTTTAAGTTGTCTTCTGTTTTGTTGTCTGTATTTTAAATTTTAACTACCAAAGTAGATTTAGTATTTATAAGCATTTATGTAAAATTAGATTGGGAGGATTATAATTAATGGTCTAGGCACCAGTTACTGCTATAAGCATTTCATGAACAGTAATCTGAGTCGATATCTTTTTTTTATTTGATGGAAACTTAAGCTTTATTAACTTAAGTAAAGCCCCAACTACAGAATTAAGACTTAAATGTCAAACCCATCATGATTATATATTCTAACTAACTCTCCCTCGACATTCTACAAGATACAAAAACTTGTTTAGCAAGGCTACAGTCTTTGTTCTTTCCATGTCTAACTATCACAGCCCGTCTATATTTAAGACATGTCATGACAAAATTGAGACTTAAAATACTGTAGTACGAACTTTGGATCCTGATTTAGTCACTTTTGAGGTAAGTTGGGTTTGTTTATTGATCAGAAGGTTTCAAGCTAAAACCACAAGAGTAAATATTACTTCTTAATAAGAACATTTTTATTGCAGACTTACAAAAATTTACAAGAAAGTACAGGCTTTAAAAGAACAAACCGACTACTTCAGCTTGCAGGAGTGGGTTTTCAAAAATGACAATGTCATGGAAATGTTAAGCAAGTTGAGTGAAGAAGACAAGAAGATATTCTACTTTGATGTGAGGGATATTGATTTCAAGGAGTGTCTTCTAGTTTCAAAGATGGGTTGCAAATACTATTATTTAAAAGAAAAAATTGAAGACATCCCTGCTGCTATACGAAAAAATGCATGGTATGAGTTTTGATGTTTCAAATGTACGTTGAACCTATGAAAGATTTTTTTCAGCAATGATGTTAAAATGCTAAGCACTAGAGGTTAACCAATATACACTCACTATTTATGGAAATTACACTATTTATAGGGATTAATTATTTATACTTTAAAACTCAGGATGACAGTTTTTTTATGTGATTTTATGTACGGTAGGTGGTTAAAATAATAAGACACATCCAGTAATACAATTATTTAGTTATCATTTAAAACTGTATGGGCGTTTACATAGACAAAAAAAATGAAATATAGACCGTCAGCTGTGCTGCGGTTACCATAAGTTCTGGCGCACACCGCTGGGATCGCCACGGTAGTTACAGCGTACGCGCTACGTAAACTACAGCGGTGTGCGCCGGAACTTATGGTAACCATGGTAACCGCAGCACGGCTGACAGTCTATATTTCATTCTTTTTGTCTATGGCGTTTATCTGTATGTTTTTAAGAAAACGAGTCTTCAAGTTTAAGAATTGTCGAGGGATCGCAATCATATATTTTTATAGTCAGTCATAGTAGACCGCATCCCGTTCAAGGTCAAGCTTCTTGACACAGTAAATACATTGGATGAACTGTGACACACAGGTCCAATAATTGTACTCTTCCTCAGTCGTCATCATCTACTCTTCCGAACCACACTGGACACAGAATGTGAGCCGGAAAAGATACATGGCTATCCTCTCCAAATGGGAGGTGAAAGGTGCAGCGTGATTTTCTGGGTTACAAGTTTGTAACCCTGAGAAAAATACAGATTTATCATAATTACTGTATTTTCCAGGTTGTATTGGCTACACAACTCGGTAAAGCTGACTTGTTCCGTGATTGTTCTCAAACTCATGGTGATTACCGCAAGAGCGATTCCATTCTGAACCACGACTGCTGGAGTCAATATTTTACCAACTGTAATAAGAGGAGTGAGTGTTTAATGAACTGTCTTTTTGGTTATTGTTTTCATGTCAAAACGTACTTGTAAACATTTTGAACTTGTAAATAAATAAGGAACGAGTCCTTAATCAAACTGGTCATGTGTTATCTTGTAAAATAATAAAAGCATGTACTTATTTTTGAGGTGTTGCCTTCTGGATTATTTAACATTTAATGTTCTAGAGGTTAAATACCTAGTTGCCAATGTAATCTTTGGTCGTCTGAATTGCAACCGGTTTTGAGACCCTGTTGGCATTATCAAGCCTTAGACATGGTTGTTGCTCCTAGAAGGTTGTCAACAAGTTTTCCCAACACATAAACGAGACCAAAACAAACAACAAACTTACTAAGGACAAAACCACAAAATAGAGTTTGGCACGAAGCAATCTAATACTCTAATAGCAGCGAGTGGTTACAAACGAATTTTGTTTGTCTCAGAGATGTTATTAAAGACTGGTAAGTCCTTAAGTCGGTGGTAACATATAATGCATTTTGTTTTGTTATCATCAGGTTAGTTAAGAGTAGTATGGCAAAAAATATTGAATGTTTTTTTTAAATTCCTGTCCAAAAATTTGTCCAAAAAATTTGACAGAAAATTTCTTTACCGTACTTGTATAGTAATCCTGCACTCAACACTAGTCCGTAAACAACTATTTTGCTAACGCAACGTAACATAGTATTAGCGTTACAGCCTGAGAGCAGTTATTGTTATGTTATATATAACATAATATTGCCTAATTGTGGCAAAGGATAATTTTGGCCATGCAATATATATGCAAGTTATAATGAAGTTTTAATCCAGATATTTTGTTTAGGCTTACATTATATCTCAAAAACATTTAGCCTTGTTTATTATAAAAATTATCATGTGAAAATCTTCAGTTTTTAAAAAGGTATTCAAATATATATTGGGTACCACAATATTCTAAAGGAACATTTGTGCATTGCATGTTATTGTAAAGTTAAGATTCTGACGTAGAGTGTTTACGAAACATCCGCAGTTACAACAGCGTAACTTTTGAAGAAAAGATCCATTGCACCGTTATCAGCTGAGTGTGTTTTATACTTTTAAAGTCTCTAATTTCTCAAGTCATTAGAATAATTAATATTAACTAAAAACTCTAAAAATATAATGAGATAGGATTGATGAAAAAGGAATGTTAAAGAGAAACCCCTTAGTGTATCAAGTATATTGATTAACTCTATAATACTCTTATTTACAATATTATCTATAAAATAGTCTACAGTAATATGAAGAATAAAAAGTAGACCTAATAACTAAAGAGTCATGCTTTTTTTTAATAAGTGGCTGTGGCTGGAGAAAAGAATAGATGAGCGGTAACTAAGCTCTAAAATCTAAAACTTATGTACCGGTATGTAATACTAATATAAATATATGAATCACAGTCTTTAACATTATTATATATATAAGAAGGCTGGAGTAGAACTTTTATGTGTTGGGTGCAGACCTTCTTTCTTGGCATGAATAATGTACAATGTCTCCGTTAGGATAACGTACAAACGCACTGAAAAAGAAGATTTTTATTGAATTCAAGTAACTTGATTAAAAACTAGTTGTTCTGCCCGTGCCTGGCAGCGGGGCAAGAACACTTTAGAAAATCATGAGGGTCTCTAAATCTATCGTAACAATAAAATCTCAATCTTACTCATTGCTTTTTTTGATGAAAATCTATTGTGAATTTGCATTACAATTTTTGGCATAATCAAAAATAATATACTTGATCATACCGTAATGTAAACGTCTATGATGAGAATCAAAAGATTAACTCAGATAAAAAAAGTAAAGAAACAAATAATAAACAGATCTAATCCAACAGTTTTTGCATTTTAAATATTTTAAATGTAACTCAATCCAGTTCTTTAATTGAGGTTTGTGCTCTTAGGTAAGGGTTAGTATTTACAATATTATCTATAGGTTTTAAAAAACCGATATTTTTAGGGAAGTTTCCCATCAAGGATAGGTGTGCGTCTTACGGTTTCCTCAAAAGTTTGTGGTCCTTATTAGCATGATAAATATTAGGCCTATAGATAAGTGACCTCTATGATAAAAAGAAAAAGACAGACCAACAAAAAATTCTATTACCAAATATCATAGACATAAATCTTACTTCATAGAAATACAATTTTTACTATACCGACCTAAAACAATATGGAAACAGATATGATCTGAAAGTTGAGAATATTTGTTAATCCGCAATAACTACAACTACATACATTGTATACATTTTCATATTGAATGGAAAGAAATATTAAAAAACGAAACATAAAAAATATTCAACAGCTGTTTTTTATAATAAACGGCAAACGACTCAAGATGCAGATTGAGTTGTCGCTATTAAAAATTGTAAGCTTGTGTGTGCAGGACTGTCTTGCCTCTATGTCGGGATTGGGTAGAAAGAATGAGGCTTTGCTGGGTGCCTCAAAACTCAGGAAATGAAGGTAACGAAGCCGCGGACAAAGTAGTAAATGTTACCTCAGGAGCAACAACCTTCTGTGGTATCTCCCGTAAGTGTGTGTCATGAGCCGCTGAAACGTGCCAAAAACGATGGGCTAATACACCCCTTCTCAGATTGAGCAAACTCACTCTTCACAAGCCGTCAAAACGGGTCCCCTCGAACTTTTTGAGGTTGGATAAGCGAAGAATTAGACTAACGGTAGAACTGATCACCGGACATGGGCGGTTTAGATAACATTTGCAGCATATGGGCTTGTATGATGGCAAACTAGTCTGTAGAAATTGCGGTAGGTCAAAGGAAACAGTTGATCATCTGCAATGTGACTGTAAACAGCTTTCAGAGTTTAGAAGGACAACTCTTGGTAATTTGGTAAGAGGGAGTTTCCTACCTTCTCGAAGAAGGAATTGATTGGCATACGACAGGTAACTATCCGGTGCTTGTATCTTTAAGGTCGATTGACTAAACATTTTATTGGGGTGTATCTTATTCTACAGAGGAACAACAGTTATAAAATTCTAAAAAAATTAAAGTTCTGCAACAATAAATTTTGTAGAAAGGACAAATGTACTCACCTTTGGTTCCCAAAGCGTTTTTTGCATACAGGGCACACCATTGTTTCTGTCATCATCACACTTTGTGACTCGTACTGCATACGCAACTCTTGTACCTGGAGAGAACAACCACATGAAGAGATACAATACTACAGCAGTAAAACAACTGACAATTCACTTTTTAGAATTAGTTATTCAAAAATAGTATAGTTCACGGAAACATTAGCATAGTCCTGAAAATCTCACTTAAGGTTATCATTGTCATCCGCCATTACTGCAAAATCGTGGACACCTCCTGCAGTTTGTAGACATTATCGTCATCTCCCACGCTCACGGAAACGTTATTATCAAAATCCACAATCACGGCAAAATCCTGAGCATCTCAGTTTGTAGACATTATCGTCGTCTCCTGCGGTCTCAAGAAATGTTATAAATAAGCGTTAGCGATCAAAAGCGTGAAATTTTACACAATCAAAAGTGTATTGCGGTAGCAATCGTAAAAGCTCTGCTCAAACTTGCTTTTCCGACTTTATGATATCTCTCGAGCTTGTACGGCAGGCTCGGCTCAGACAACAAAACTAGGTACATACAGAGTTGTAGCAAATATAAACCATCTAAACTCAGAGTTTTCAATATTACAACCACACGAGAAGGTAAAGCAAAAATCCAAAAATGTAAACAAAAATAACTGTATCGTCACAAAGCTGACACCCATATGGAAGTCATATAACGAGATAGCTTTGACCTTACCTGAAGATGTTCAGCGTACAAGAGCCCTTTGAGTACTTGAGTCTTGCGACGTTCATTGATCTGCTTCTGAAGACTGGCCATTAGGAAGTGTTTGATGCGGATCAGAGGAACTGAATCCGGCAGCTCCTTCAGGGCCTGTAAGGTTCAGGGTGTAAATATATCAAATACTTCCTTGAAAATCTTCTTGGACTCAATCTAAAGCTACAGAATTAAATCTAGACAAGCAATAATAAAAATTATAGCCTGCTTAAGTCAGTAAAATTGTGTTCCACATAACTAGGAGGGTTATTTTTGGTATACAGACTCACAATTGAAATACTTTAACTGATTGTAACCATGGGACCGTGACTTAAGAAAGAATTTTGCGGAACACTGTGCAGCAATAAACCGAATACTGTAAACAACTAGAGTAGAAAGTGCTACTGCTAGTGATAGGCTACCACTAAATACTTTAAATTATGTTAAGTAATTATAGAGGTATCTATTGACCACGATTGACACACTGGCCGGATAGTCAAGGTTCTACTGTAGTATAAAACAAAATGTATTCAGTTTAGATAGTTCATAAAAAAACAAACTCCTAATGGCTTTACAAACACGGTTGCGCCACTATTAACAGTGAACACGGCTGGAAACTTAGACATTATTTAGAAATATAAGTAGGCACTGTTGTTACCAAACATATTTTTAGGAATAAAAAATTCTGAAAGATATAACTTGAAGCTATCTAAATTTAACACAATCTAACCTTAAGAGGAGGTATGCGGTCAGCGTTGCCCTCAAGCAGTGAGAGGGCAGTTTCAAGGTCAGGTTGAGGAGTGTTGGCAGGGGTGACTCCGACCAGCCAGTTGTCTGGGGGGCTGATCAGCAATCTCATCAACCACACGTAAACCTGGCATAGGACAATGGTTAGAAGCTGTAAGTTGTGTGTCTCTTAATGACATGCATGAAAAGACTGTGACTAAAATTCAGTTAAGAGTCTTCACTACTCCTCTACAAAAGGTGCAAAACATGTATTTTCATTTAGCTGCTTCCGATACCAATTGTCGACACTGAAATTTGGAGAAAATCATTTTCTAGCAGTTAAAGCATGTTTAAAACTTTAGATGACCTCAAATATAAATATTTTTATATTTTATTCCAACTGTTGTTTTTTAAGTCCAAAATTGTTAGTTAAATTTTTTTCCCGATCTTGTGAATGTTTACAGTAGGCCAGTAGTAACCCAATACCTCGTCAGCCCCAGACCCTCCTTGTTTATAGACTTTGTCACAGTATTCCTTGGCCCTCTGAATGTCCGACAGAACTGAAACATAGATGGACAGAGCCTGTTCATGTCTGCCTAGTCGGCCCAGAATGATGGCGCGCTCTTCAAACAGACCTGCAAATAAATTATAATGTAAAAATATAAATTAGAACACAAAGAACACTTTTTATTCTTATGGCTAGAGCCAGGTGACGGTATAAACAACACATTAAGAGTCAATGATAATTGGGAAAGTTTAATAGGCTACAGTAAAATATTGGTGCTCAGTCCTAAAGAAAATCCCTTGAAATATCATTGGTTGCAAGAAATTAATTTAGGAAAACGATATTTAGCTATTGAACTCAGCTATTAATTCATAGTCATTAAAAATACTGAAACAAAAAAGCAAACTGTAAGTACTAAACAGAAAGAAGTAGCCAACCAGTAAATGTAGTACACAAAAAGTAAAATATAACATTTTGTAAGGATCAGGCTTAACCAAACGGGAAAGAATACACTTTAGCACAAGAAATGTAAAAAAAATACTAACTATTATATTATACACAACAGTTAAAATATTTCACTGTCACAGACAGAATTCGTAACCAAAGAAGGTTTGAGTTGGGGATAGGAACCATTTCACTAGTTGACAAATTTTTTATGGTGAAATTTTTTTCTTGTGTCACAGTGGACATTTCCCCGCCCAGAAACTGGGAGCCATTAAAAATATTGTTAATTCTAGTTAGCAACAAAACTCACAATCAAAAGGGAAATGAACCAGTACAGTCTCTGGAATGTAGTGCTGAGATTTGTCTAGGAAGGCTAGTAGTTTAGCCTTGATGTGCTGAGCAGCTTGCTGCTCCTGCTGAGTTGCGTTCGGTGTCAGCAGAGCTTGCACTCTCTCCTTGTACTGGTGAATCAGCACATTGTGGAATATAGAGTTGGTGTCCTTCCATGTATGTACCACGTGCTCCTGTAATCAGTATGTGTATCAGTAGTTAAGCCTTGATGTGCTGAGCTGCTTGCTGCTCCTGCTGAGTTGCGTTGGGTGTCAGCAAAGCTTGCACTCTCTCCTTGTACTGGTGAATCAGCACATTGTGGAATATAGAGTTGGTGTCCTTCCATGTATGTACCACGTGCTCCTGTAATCAGTATGTGTATCAGTAGTTAAGCCTTGATGTGCTGAGCTGCTTGCTGCTCCTGCTGAGTTGCGTTGGGTGTCAGCTAAGCTTGCACTCTCTCCTTGTACTGGTGAATCAGCACATTGTGGAATATAGAGTTGGTGTCCTTCCATGTATGTACCACGTGCTCCTGTAATCAGTATGTGTATCAGTAGTTTAGCCTTGATGTGCTGAGCAGCTTGCTGCTCCTGCTGAGTTGCGTTGGGTGTCAGCAAAGCTTGCACTCTCTCCTTGTACTGGTGAATCAGCACATTGTGGAATATAGAGTTGGTGTCCTTCCATGTATGTACCACGTGCTCCTGTAATCAGTATGTGTATCAGTAGTTTAGCCTTGATGTGCTGAGCAGCTTGCTGCTCCTGCTGAGTTGCGTTGGGTGTCAGCAAAGCTTGCACTCTCTCCTTGTACTGGTGAATCAGCACATTGTGGAATATAGAGTTGGTGTCCTTCCATGTATGTACCACATGCTCCTGTAATCAGTATGTGTATCAGTAGTTAAGCCTTGATGTGCTGAGCAGCTTGCTGCTCCTGCTGAGTTGCGTTGGGTGTCAGCAAAGCTTGCACTCTCTCCTTGTACTGGTGAATCAGCACATTGTGGAATATAGAGTTGGTGTCCTTCCATGTATGTACCACGTGCTCCTGTAATCAGTATGTGTATCAGTAGTTAAGCCTTGATGTGCTGAGCAGCTTGCTGCTCCTGCTGAGTTGCGTTGGGTGTCAGCAAAGCTTACACTCTCTCCTTGTACTGGTGAATCAGCACATTGTGGAATATAGAGTTGGTGTCCTTCCATGTATGTACCACGTGCTCCTGTAATCAGTATGTGTATCAGTAGTTAAGCCTTGATGTGCTGAGCTGCTTGCTGCTCCTGCTGAGTTGCGTTGGGTGTCAGCAAAGCTTGCACTCTCTCCTTGTACTGGTGAATCAGCACATTGTGGAATATAGAGTTGGTGTCCTTCCATGTATGTACCACGTGCTCCTGTAATCAGTAGTTTTCCTCAACACTTTAACTGCTAGTTAAATATAAAATTTTTTTCCAAGGCTGAAATCTTTCAATTGAATATCAATAATTCTTAGGAAAAAAAAATCATAATTAGCTCAGCAGTAAGTGACGTCATCAAATTATGGGATACCGGTCCCTCGTAAGCACCAAGAAAGTGTCAGCCATGAAGTCGGTGTTCCATGAGCTCTGGCCACATTGAACACGTAATATTACACTATACTAAAAAAATAATAACACTCGGACACATCTCTTCACCAAGCTGCAATGTGTAATAGCTTATTTTACTTTTAAACCTTGTATTCCACAACATAATAAGATAAGTACTGAGTACTAATATTCTCTTATTGTCGGGACCCGCAAGTTTGCGGTTGAGGGAGGAGCCTAATTACCATATGATTTTGAATGACCCAATGAGAACCGTGCGGTGTTGCCAAATCTAATAATACCAGCTGATTTGAAAATATTGCTCAGTATATTTTAATTAGTGTTGTCAACGGTCAATGTGGCAACGTCGCACTAGCCTTGTCTTGTGATTGGCGGCCACCAACTGCAAACTTACGTGGTCCCGACTATAGAGTTACTTATCATTAGCTTACCAGATAGGGTATGACTAGAGACTTCTGAGTTCTCAGCAGATAATCGAGGACCTGAGGACGAGGTAGATGCTCAACTTCAGGAGTGTCTTCAGTGAATATCTTGAGGCCATCTTCAGGATGAGCCTCCAGAACCCACCCAGCAAACTGGAAAATCAGTTTTACATGCTCCTCTCCTAAAACAGAAATTTGGTTACCAATTGTATGGTCAAATACTTTCAAAATAAGTATGAGTGAAACAAATTAGCGTAAAAAATGCTTATAGCTATAACTAAAAAGACTATAGATGGTCAGGGCTAAATTCAAAGACTCTGTAGGCCTTGGTATAGGTCGCTCTGAAACATACCTTCAAAGGCTCTGTAGGCCTTGGTATAGGTCGCTCTGAAACATACATACAAACATATAAGATGGTATGTTCCAGAGTTCACACACATTGCTCCTTAACTATGTCGCAAATGATAAACTTCAAGAATATAAAAGTAGACTAAACAAAATTTTACAACAAACATTTTTTTTAACATATCAAAGCTTGGTCACCTAGTGTTTGAAGATACTGCACAGTTCGCTCATGGCCTCGCAGACTGCTGTCGCTCTGATTGGCCTGTTTCTGCAGCAACTCCAGAGCCTTGTGGTGCAGTCCCTTGGTCTGGTACAATATGATCAACTCGCTGTACTTATGATGCTTCCGCAGGGTGTGTTCCGTCTCCTCCAAGTGACAATAGTTCCGCCTCAACAACGGAGCCACCAGGGCGTCATTTGTCTGGATGAAACACGAAAATACAACTGATTTGATTGATAGGAATAAGGATGTATGGGTACAAGAGCTTTTTATTATAGGTTTTTTCAGGGAAGGCAGGCTTACCTGAACGGGAAAGAGTCCAATCTGGCTCAAGAAACACAAAACTTTACATTCACTGTTCCCAAGAGTACCTACCACTACCACTCAATTATATAGCTTAAATAGAACAAAAAACTCATCCAATAAAGTCCTATTATTTCTTATAGTTATGGGGAAAACTAATTAAAAATTTGATAACGAAACAAATACTAAAATGTATTTACCTGCAAGTAACATTTGAGTAGAGTGGTGTCAATAATCTGCATCAGTTGCTGGGTGGATTTTGATTCAAATCCCTTTTCTGCAGACTTCTTGTCTAGGATTTTTCGCCGGACCTAGAAATAGACTGAATACAGTTGTTGACATTTCACATCTATATACTTAATCCAATGAAAGTTTTTTCTGTAACAGCCCTTTTCAGCAGTCCTTCTTAACCATATTTTACGACTGAGGTGTCATTTTAAAACTTTGATATAACGGGGAGACACATGGTAAATTAAATGAAAACAAAATATTTTTTAGGGCTTTGCTCCTCTAGCATTTATTTCTAGAGTTTGCTTTCAAAGATCAAGATGCTGACCAACTTTCTTTATAACAGTTGAATTGTGAATTGTAATTTAACAGCTGATCCTTCTGTTGAATGTTAAATCACAGTCAAACTATTAATGAAACAGATTATGAAAATCTGTTTTATGTTGGCTACTTTCTTGAAAATCTTACCTACAACCGTTTTTTAAAGTAGCTGTTTCAGTTTAGTTCTTAGAATTGAAAAATTTCACATAGCAACATTTTTTACTTTCACATCAGCATAGTTTACTCAAAACAAAACGGGTAACGGACCAATGAGGGTCAAGGATTGAGAGAGAAGAAGTAAAATTTTAATGATTCAAACTTCAACTAATCAGCTGTTTAGGAAAATTAATTGTTGAGTGATGCAATTAGTGTTTGGTACAATGTTACAACTAGCGCAGACAAAAGGTTAAGAACAATTAAAGTTACCTCAGTCAAGTACTGGATAAGAGCTAAGAGGCCATTCTCTAGGTCCATGTCATCCAGTTTCACCGAAGACTTGTCGGAAGACTTAGGCTCATCTCTCGCTTGCTGAGGTAACAACATTGGAAACAGTCTAATGACATCATATGGATCTGTGAAATAGAAATGTATTACTATTCATTAATATGGGGAGCGAGCTGGCGAAGTGGCGTAGTGGTCCCTGAGGTCCCGGGTTCAATCCCCACCAAGTCACCAATGGATTTTATCTAAGTGATAATGCCGCAACCCCTAGGTCTAGCCTGAAATAATGTGAAAAAACAATCTTTCTTCTATTTCTTTTTTTTTAAAAAAAGAGGTTGGCGGCCTCTTTTAAACTTGCATTTGCCCGTCCACATAGACTAAGCGCCCGTGCGAGGATCGTTTACAGCAAAGCAAGGAGTGAGCCGGTACAGTACAAAGGTGAAATGTACTGATAAATTTTAGTGGCAGTGACCAGGATCCGAACCCACGACATCGCTGCCTTGGGCCCGAAGTCCGCGACGCTACCGACTGAGCCACCGACTCACATAATTCCAGGCTCGTGCCTAGCGTCCTAGGACAAAAAAAAACTATTAATTAATATAACTTGCACAACTAAATCCCAGGATCAAAGAGAATAAATTGTACTTTAACAAGATTCACCTTAAACATAAACATTCAACTACTGAAAATATTTTCATTAGGTACATTTTTGAAAGAGACACTAAAATACTAACCTTCTACGTCAAACAAATGTATGAACTTTTCAAAGCGGTATAATTTTGAATTTTCTTTGTCATAATATTCCGCCGACTGATAGCTCTGGAGCTCCATGTTGTCGTCAAAAGCGCTGAACCACCAGCCAAGTCTTCATTTTTAAATAAGAAACAAGTGAAAATCACTTTGAACAAAGTAACCTCGACTGAAGGGTAGTTAGAAGGAAATTTACCATTTGAATGAAAGAGGTCTTGCGTGCCATTTGCCATTGCAAGTAGGGTATGGTCGTGCAAAACAAATTTGGAGGTCAACTTAAGTCCGGTCATTTATAAATAACTGAATGCACCATTTCCAACCAGGACTTTAATTTGTTATGATGTTTCCGTACACTTCCCGCCCTTGACGTTAAATTTCTATAGATTTTTTACTTTTTTATGTGTATGGCCAAAAACCGTTTTAGGCCTGTACTAGGAATTACACAAACAAAGAGCATCTATCAGCCTCAGACAGAAATGTCCCTTACTTTCTAAACAGCTTTTGTATTCTCTATTTAGCTTGCATTTACTTATTTACCTGTATCTAGTTTGAGGAATTCCTTCATCGAGTCAAGGAACTTCTTGTTGTGAAACAGATCAAAGGCGTACAATGTTTTTATCTGGTGGATGTTTTTAGCCTTCTCTTCAGGCAAATCATCAGAGAGATTCTGGAAGAAAAGGATAATGTAAGGCCTAACTTTTAGGTACAAAATGTAAAGTAATCACATCTTTAACACTATTGATTTAATCTAAATTATTCCAGTAACACTTTCAAAAGGTTTGGTCTACATTTTCAATTAGGATTAGCCGATTTTGATTTTGTAAAGTGTACATTAGATTCATATTTCAGAATAGCTACCTATTGTCAGAATTATTTTTTTTTAACTTTTGTTACTGACTACGATAGGCTAGTTGGTGAGAACTAAGCTACAGTTTACAATTAGTAGATTTTTCAGCTTCTATTGAATATAAAAATGGTCGTGTCGACAATGAACCAGAAACTACCGTTAGTGAACACAGTAAGTTTTTTTTTTTTAAACTGACAACAGATTTGATAAGGAAATCGGATGTACACTTCTATTTATAGTTAAAGATTCAGCTTTGAAAAAAATTACGACTAGCTAATATTAAAATACACTCTAAATCCACTACAAAACTAAAACCAGATGCTAAATCTCCTACACTCGTACCGTCAGTTTGACCGCAAGTTGGAACTGCTTCTCTTCCAACAATCTATGAATTTGTTTACTGACAGGTAGAGATTGTACGATCCACACGTGCTCGGTGGACGCAGCGTAGACTACGCCCTGACGACACCGACAGGCCAGCCGAGCCTTCAGCGGCAGCGACTGTATCAGCAAGTGAGGTTCAACTGTCCGCACTTCCACACTCTCCGGCAGCAGCGCGAGCAGGTATGGCTCGTCAAACACTATGGAATGTTATTACAAATTTAGGGGTATTTTAACTCAAAAGAGTAAAAGCAGTGTAGAATAGAGTGGAATTGGGTAACTTGTTACTAAGACCCGCTGTATGTTTAGTTGGGACTTTTATGGAAAGTTAAATAGGGATAAGGAATAATGGAAAGCTTAATAATAGGGAATAATAGATCAAGGATGGGTCCTGTTTGTAAAATCAAAAAGCTGCTAGTATTCTGATTACTAGGCTAAATTTATAACCACTTTTCTTTATCCTTTTTAGTGAATGTCCCATTTAGGGAATTAGTGAATGTCCCATTTAGGGAATTAGTGAATGAGGCACAGCTTTACCCATTTTTGAATCAAAAAAGCTCCTGATACTAGTTAGGATCAAATGTTGTGACGCTGTCATTATTAAGCAAGCACTGTATCCACTTGGCTACCCAAAATAAACAAAAAAGCTTTTAAAAAGTTTCAGATTTATGTCTAGATATTAGTTATTCTAATATAGGCTAAGATTCTAAGTATTTACTTACCCAAGTCTATTGGCACCTCAGACCACTTGACAGCCAAATTAGACACAGCTTCACCTGCAGTGTACATTAGCACACTTTGGGTGTCCTTGCCTAACACAAACATGTCATCTGACACCTTGGTGATGCTGGGCTCCTGGTGCTTGGTGCCTGTGGGGAACAGGTCCTTCTGTGTCTTGTCTGGCAACTACAACAGTCAGATGAGTAACATGTAGTGTACATCAGTACACTTTGGGTGTCCTTGCCTAACACAAACATGTCATCTGACACCTTGGTGATGCTGGGCTCCTGGTGCTTGGTGCCTGTGGGGAACAGGTCCTTCTGTGTCTTGTCTGGCAACTACAACAGTCAGATGAGTAACATGTAGTGTACATCAGTACACTTTGGGTGTCCTTGCCTAACACAAACATGTCATCTGACACCTTGGTGATGCTGGGCTCCTGGTGCTTGGTGCCTGTGGGGAACAGGTCCTTCTGTGTCTTGTCTGGCAACTACAACAGTCAGATAAGTAACATGTAGTGTACATCAGTACACCCTGGGTGTCCTTGCCTAACACAAACATGTCATCTGACACCTTGGTGATGCTGGGCTCCTGGTGCTTGGTGCCTGTGGGGAACAGGTCCTTCTGTGTCTTGTCTGGCAACTACAACAGTCAGATAAGTAACATGTAGTGTACATCAGCACACTCTGGGTGTCCTTGCCTAACACAAACATGTCATCTGACACCTTGGTGATGCTGGGCTCCTGGTGCTTGGTGCCTGTGGGGAACAGGTCCTTCTGTGTCTTGTCTGGCAACTACAACAGTCAGATAAGTAACATGTAGTGTACATCAGTACACCCTGGGTGTCCTTGCCTAACACAAACATGTCATCTGACACCTTGGTGATGCTGGGCTCCTGGTGCTTGGTGCCTGTGGGGAACAGGTCCTTCTGTGTCTTGTCTGGCAACTACAACAGTCAGATAAGTAACATGTAGTGTACATCAGTACACCCTGGGTGTCCTTGCCTAACACAAACATGTCATCTGACACCTTGGTGATGCTGGGCTCCTGGTGCTTGGTGCCTGTGGGGAACAGGTCCTTCTGTGTCTTGTCTGGCAACTACAACAGTCAGATGAGTAACATGTATTGTACATCAGTACGACCTGGGTGTCCTTGCCTAACACAAACATGTCATCTGACACCTTGGTGATGCTGGGCTCCTGGTGCTTGGTGCCTGTGGGGAACAGGTCCTTCTGTGTCTTGTCTGGCAACTACAACAGTCAGATGAGTAACATGTATTGTACATCAGTACGACCTGGGTGTCCTTGCCTAACACAAACATGTCATCTGACACCTTGGTGATGCTGGGCTCCTGGTGCTTGGTGCCTGTGGGGAACAGGTCCTTCTGTGTCTTGTCTGGCAACTACAACAGTCAGATGAGTAACATGTATTGTACATCAGTACGACCTGGGTGTCCTTGCCTAACACAAACATGTCATCTGACACCTTGGTGATGCTGGGCTCCTGGTGCTTGGTGCCTGTGGGGAACAGGTCCTTCTGTGTCTTGTCTGGCAACTACAACAGTCAGATAAGTAACATGTAGTGTACATCAGTACACCCTGGGTGTCCTTGCCTAACACAAACATGTCATCTGACACCTTGGTGATGCTGGGCTCCTGGTGCTTGGTGCCTGAAGGAAACAGGTCCTTCTGTGTCTTGTCTGGCAACTAAGTAACTAAGTAAGTCAGATGAGTAACATGTATTGTACAGCTCGTGACATCTAAGCTTGGCTGATTACTACTAGTATCTAGTTCAAAATCATTATTTCCTGTCATGGACACTCTGAATATGTAGTGTAGGTTTTATAGGCCTTGATGCAGTTTAACCCATTGGCGACCTATCACGAGTATACTCGTGATGGCTTCAAGTGGCCCAAAACCACCATCACGAGCTATCTCGTGATGACGACATACTTTATTGTTATTCTTTTTACTTGCATTAAACATTGTTTTAGTAGCTTTTTACAACTTTTAGAGCTATATAGAACATCAAATTTGATAAAAAAGCTATTTAAAGTCAATTATTATATTATGTCATAATATTTATATTGATTGCGTAATATGGACCTATTTCGTTCGCAGCTGTTGGTCACTACGTCGCTAGCTTAGTGACGGCGTATTAGTCAGCTGTCACAATTGTAAACAACAAAATTGTGTTACATGTTTGTAAACATTACGTGTGTCTACATTTTCAAATAATAAGTGTGTTTATATTGGATTTTATGACGAATAAAACAATGAAGTGTCAGTTTTTTCAATAGTGTTTTGTTAGTTTTTAGTTGTTGTTCTATTACAGAAGACAAATTATTTTTCGGAAATGTTTTACCGTAGTTGAAGGTTATATGATGGCTCGTAGGGAAGATTTCTTATATTCCAGTGAAATAGATAGAATTTTATTTGAGGAAAGTGACAGTGACCAAGAACGTAGTAGTGATTCTAGTGATGATTGTTTTGGGGAAGGAGAAGAGTTGGATCCTCGATATCTTGTGGAATCAGATGGTGAAGATGGGATAGCCAATTCAGACCAAGGCGATTGTTTTGGGGAAATTGAAGAGCTGGATCCTCAGGATATTTTGGAATCAGATGGTGAAGATGGGTTAGCCAATTCAGACAGAGACCAAGGTGAGGCTGTAAGTGATAGTGTAGGTTTTGATGAAGTACCTATTGATGATATGGACATTGAAATCGAAATGGGGCAAGGTGATAGGTCCAGTCTTGTACCTTTGGTTTCTGAGTCAATTGAAACTAGGCCTACATCTATGTCTTTTCCTGAGTCAATTGAATTTCCTAGGCCTGTACCAAGTAGGCCTAAACCTAATACTCTTCGAACGAATAAGCCTTCAAAAAGAAAAGTAGGAAGAAATACCGATACAAGACAACCAAAAAAAAGTAGGGCTAAGAAAAAAAGTAAATAAATAAAAAAAGTCACAATGGAACTGGGAAGATAAAGACAATGTCCCTAAAACTATTCCATTTGTTGCTACCCCCGGCCTAAATCCAATTTACGCACGTCGACTGGGAAACACCCCCTCGCAACTTGACATTTTATCTCAGTTTTTAGGGGATGAGTTTTATTCTATGTTGTGTGTTGAGAAAAATGATTATGCAAATAAACAATTGAATGACCCTAATAGAAGAAAGCTTGCTGATGATAAGTTGTGGGTGCCAGTGAGAGTGCCAGAAATAAAAGCATATCTGGCACTTTATATTCTAATGGGCCAGGTAAAAAAGTCAAGGATAAAGATGTACTGGTCGACTAGGAAAATTGTAGAAACAACTATTTTTTCAGAAGTCATGACATATAAGCGGTTTTGTCTTATTTCACGATTTTTGCATTTCTCTGATCCTGATTTTACAGATCCGAAAGATAAATTGAAGAAATTGAGACCGGTAATTTCCTACCTAGAAAATAAGTTTATGGACTTCTATACAATGGAACAAGATGTAGCAGTAGATGAAAGTTTAGTGAAACTTAGAGCTCGCTTGAGCTACATTCAATACAATCCAAAAAAAGAGCTTGTTTTGGTGTAAAGTTTTATAAACTGTGTGAATCATCTTCGGGATATTGTGTTGCATTTAAAATTTACACTGGAGAAGACCAAACTCCTGGTTTGCTGTGCAGCGAGGCTGTTGTACTGAACCTTACACAACCTATACAAAATCAGGGCTATAGGCTTTACATTGACAATTGGTATATGTCACCGAGACTATGTGAGATGCTACTAGCTAGAGATACCCATGTTATTGGAACAGTCCATTACAAGAGAACAAATATGCCAGATGATTTTCCAAATATGGAACTGGAAAGAGGTGAAGCTGTAAGAAGAAGCTGCAGTGGGGTATTAGCAATAAGATGGCTTGATAAAAAATATGTACACGTTTTGTCAACAATCCACGAAGGTGTTCAGTTTGCTGTTGATAAAGAAATAATAATAAGGGGGGAAACAATACAAATAAAGAAACCTAAATCAGTGACTGAATACAACAAGGGCATGCTAGGTGTGGATGTGCAAGACCAGTTTTTGGCATCCCACACAATTATGAGGCGCTGTGTCAAATCTTATAAACATTTTTTTTTATCTGATTGACATGGCAATTTTCAATTCGTTCTGCATTTGGAGGAAGATTCATCAAAAGAAAATGCATTACTCTGACTACAGACTGAATATTGTTGAACAAATGATTGAAAACGTCACACTCCCAGAAAAAAGTTCTCCGGGGCGCCGTTCTTTGCAGGACAATCCCCTGCGCCTACAAAGTAAAGCTTGGGCACATTTTCCAATGGCTATTCCTCCAACTGGAAAGAAAAACCGCCCCACAAGAAACTGCAAGGTTTGTTTTAAGAATAATATACGGTCAGAGACACGATACTTATGCAAGAAATGCCAAGTCGCCCTCCATGTGGACACGTGCTTCGAAGCGTACCACACTAAAAGGGACTATTAGAAAAATAAGAATAGTGTAAGAAGAACTGTAAATAGTGTAAATATGACTTTAAAAAAATGTTTTAAACAGTTACTATAATGAACATGACAATGGAAATTACTTAGCCTACATCTTCTCTCATTGGTAAGTTAGCCTACAATAGCTTACTGGTTTTCCGCTACCGCATGCTAAGTTAGCCTAGTTTATTAGTTTTGTTTTGTAGGTATACATATTACATACCAAGAAATCTAATTAAATACATAGGCCTACTGTGGGCTACATTTTGTAGAAACTTGTCTATGTTTATTCTGATAATCAAGAGATGTATGTCTACAGAAATTGAATAAAGACAAGTGGGCACGTTTTTGCCAACATTTTACCACTTGTAGCGTTTTAGAAAATATTGTGTAAAAAAAACTAAATATTGTATTTAATTAAATCAAAGTTTTCTATGTAGAGAATTAAATAGGCCTATTCTATACAAATATATAAAAGTTAAAGCATTCCAACATTTTTATGAATGAAAAAAAATGGCTTACTTTTAAAATTGTATATATACAGTATTTTTATAAATTTGTGAGGATTACATTAATAAAAAAAAATCAGAAAAAATTTTAAAAAGCATTGTAAGGTATAGAGAATTTCATAAGGATTAAGAAAAATATAATATAAACCACATTTGGTTGAAAAACAAGAGTGTAATAGGTTTTTAATTAAAACTAGGGATGGTCAAGTCTCGAAATTTCGGGAAATTTTCGGGAAATTTTAAATCTCGTTACACGAGACGAGATTTCTTTTTGGCCGAGATTTTTATCAAGACGAGAAAAAAAAAATTAAAAACGCCGGCAGAAAGTCAATGCAATACCCGCAATACAGGAGCGTGTTGTAGTTGCGTTTCGTTTGCGAAGGCGTTCTTATTTAATTAATTCTTTAAATGTAAATATTACTTTAATTATTTTAATAATACAGTATTACTTTAATAACATTTGAGAAGTTTTGTTAAGTGTAAACAGTGTGAGGAATGTTTTATTACTATACAAAGTCAAAACAAGTAACTATTTTATAAAAATTAATATTGCTTTTATTTTATGATTTATTTTATTTTAGGATAAGTTGAACTCTATCCTAACTGATATCACTATGTTTCCTAATCATAGGCATTTTTAATAAGTTAGGCGTGATTAATAAAAAAATGTTATGCTGATGTTTTTTAATAAAAGATTGTAAATATTCTTGCCTATTATCATTATTTTTGTATTTAAACAGTCATCTAACAATGTTAGAAAATCAGGTAAACATTTTGAACGTGCATTTCCCGTTGTGTATGAGAAGGGAAATCCCGTCTCGATCTCGTCTCGAAAATATATGAGAAATAAAAAATCTTGTCTCGTCTCGAACTAAAAATCCAATCTCGTCCATCCCTAATTAAAACCTTACATTTTTTTGGAATTTAATAGGATCCATAGGGGGCAGCATGTAATGTGCTTATTAGGTCTCCAATGGGTTAAATAAGCACACTCTGCTGGTATCCTCTCCTAGCACAAACATATTCTAAAAGAAAAATATAGTAGGCCTATGTAAAAGAAATAATTATTATGTCAAAACTATTTACAAGTTTTTGAAGTTAACAATCTTACAAGTGTTTTAAAAGCATATTAAAAACTTCTAACTAGCCTATATTAAAAATTCCATTACGAATCATTATTTCTACGACTTACTGACAATGCCTAGTAAATGTACAGTTTGTGAATAAGAAACCTATGTTTTCTACTATGAATGTCCTGCAGCTTACAATGGGCTTTTAACCGCTAGGTATTTTCACAGCAAATTTTTAGAGCGAACTATAGGTTTTTTCACCTAGGTGACCAAAATCGTAAGACCTACACTATAAATAAACACTAGACCAACTGCAGCCTGGAGAATGCTGGTACGAAATAGCAGTAAAAAATAATACTCACAGTAACCAATGAGTATTCTCCTTTGAACCCCACTACGATGGTCTCATTGCACCACACCAGTGCTCGAGGAATGTCTTTGACTGTGACATTGTCATCCTGCATTAGTGGAAGAAACTCTCCATGCTTCCAGTAGAAGAAGAGAAGTTTACGTTTGACAGCAACGCACATTCTCACAGTCACTGAGGAAACGCCAGTTAGCGAAGTTGAGTGCTGAAACATTACAAAACTTACTAGACGTTGTTACGTTGATTACATCAAGGATAATTTTTTCTTCCTTTTTTCCCAGTTTAGATTCTACGACGCTAAGGCCCTGTACACATGAGGGCGGCAGCCGCCGCGGTAGCGGTGTGAATTGACCGTCGCTCGACAGCCAGTACTGTATTTACCCAATTATTTTTCTTTTAAACGCGTAACGCTTGACAAATCTTTTCAGAAAAAAACTCAACTAACTCTTGCTACGCAATCTTTTTTAGTTTATGTCCTAAACGTATCTTCTTTTTGTACTTCTGTAATGAACAGATCAGTGTCAAAGTTTTCTGGTTCCACAGCAGCACGCATGGCCATTTAAACTTACACTACGAGCACTCAACTCTAGCCACAGCTACACACTTCACCAACACAGAGAGCGATGTACACAGGGCAAGCGCGCAGATGTCTGTGATCCTATATAGTAGCAACTGCAGTCAACCGCGGCGGCTACCGCCCTCATGTGTACGCTCTCATACCAACTCTAGTAACTTCAACCGCACGGCAGCCGCGGCGGTCGAAGGGAAATCTACGACCGCCGCGGTTAGTTGCGGTTGACTGGAAGTGGGCGGTTGCATGTGAACGGTCCCATTTGCTCCTTTGTACTTTCAACCGCCGCGGTTCCCGCGAAATAGCAACCGCGGCGGCTGCCGCCCTCATGTGTACAGGGCCTAAGCTCCAGCCCAGAACAGTTTTGTACATTACACTATAATTACAAATATCTGAACTCCAACTATCCGAATCGCTGATTATCTGAATTGCTTACAGAATTAATTACAACAATTTTAAACCACAGTAATAAGAATCGTTATTGAAGAAGACAGAAGACGTGATCGCGGCAAAATCCAAAACCTGATTGTGTTGACACCATCATCGTCACCCACGGTCATGGAAACATCGTCATAGTTTTTGCGATCACGGCAAAGTGATAAACATATCCCACGGTCGTGTGTCTCCCGCGGTAACGGAAAATCATAATCGTACTTTGCGTTTGTGGCGAAAGCGTAAATTTACCGATAGGGATTTGTCACCGACACGTTCTACGATCGCAATAGTAAAAGCTCGGAATGACTCGGCCTATTTCTTTCAAAACTCTGAATTTTGGTAAAATCCAATTATCTGAATACTCGATTATCCGAATGGGGTCCGGTCCCAATTGATTCAGATAATTGGGTTCACTGTACTACTACTACTAGTTCTACTGTACTTGGGCTGGATCTACAGGTCATGGAGCATTACATAAAATCCATTGGGGATTGAAAGGATTTCAACAAGGACCGTGGGAATGGAAGTCCCACATTCTACCTCTATAGGCCTACCAAGGGACTTCCGATTGGTCCGTTACTTTACCACACAAATGCTCCAAAGTAAGTAAACAATGCAGTAAACGGCATTTGGTAAAAATATTTAAATAATCAACCAAACCTTATTGTAAGATTAAAAATTGTGCACTTATTTACCAGTTTAATGGATTTCAGTTGGTAACATATAAAATTAGCTTTAGACAAAAACGTCAGGTTAGCTAACTTACCTTAACATCCAAAGTGAAAAGTGTCGCTCCCCTCGTAGACTGCACTGTAGTTATAGGTGGAAAATCTCTATTGGATACATCGTGGACACAAATTATGTTATCTGAAATTAAAAACAATCATTGATTGTTTACCACAATGTATTCAATGTAGCGCAAAATTTCTTTATTCTACAGAGCGGGTTAGTATCTCGCTGAAATATTTGTTTACAAAACTCACCCTGGCTCAATTTTAAAACACACTGTAAAACATGCATCATAACACATAAGTGTAGGCCTATTAATAAATTGTCAGGTAGTTGAATGGGCTCTAATTGAAAGAAAAGGCTATCCAATACTCTCTTTCATCACGACAATCTCGTAGAAAGATAGAATTTTAGGAATCAGCTTTCCTTTATCGTTGTTAGGGCCTGAGCTAGTTTATTTTAAACATCAGAGCAATTCAATATCCACTTTATAACTTAGTGGTTTATTTAAATTAACTTTTGTCCCAGTCCAAAATTTGTCTGCTACAACTGTACCAAGGTTTTGGCGCTGATTGCGTTATGATTAGGCATGCTGTTGTCGAAAACATTACACTTACAATAATATCGGTACCACCGTTTTCCCCATGAATTTGTGCAAGTATAAAATCTATCAATATCTAGGCCCTACACATGGTTACCATATTTTGGCATGGTCAATCCAGATACAAGGGCGAAGGGGGGAGGGAAAGAGAAGGATCAGGGATTTTACAGAGGCCTAGTTATGAATAAAGAGCATACAATACATAAAATATAACTAGACTTTCCCATGAATGTAAGCCAAGTTACAATAGGCCTACCCATTGTGACTCGTTTAACTATAGCAATATCATTTTAAGTTAAGACAACACACTTATTGAAGTTTCTATTCCATCATATTCTTCTGCTAAGCTTGTACCCACGGCTTAACCTGCGATGGTATAACCATAAATGTTATACCTACAGCATAAGAATAAACAGAATATTACAATAATTACAATTACCCTTAACTTAGTTACCGTATTTAATAAATGTAGATAACAACAACTGCATACCGTACAGTCCTAACTTAGGTAGTTTTCATTCAAAACACAGAAAACAAAAATTACCTGACAATCTGATGAGAATTTCATGTTCCGGTATAATTGCCAGTTGCTGGATTGGTTTTTTACTAAAGTTTTTGTTGTACCGCAGAAGCTGAACGTCATGTTTTGGATCCCCATAACGTGATGTCACCTTGTACATCAACAGATGCCCTTGCCTCGTGCCAACCAATAGGTTATCACCTAAATGTGAAAATGGATTTTGAGCACATTTAAAGTAAGTTAAAGCTATTGTGGGAATTTTAAGTAGGCTGGTAGACGGTAGACCTAAACGGTAATTGGAGTGAGGTGTGCTTTCTCGAACTTCTAAAATAAAGATAAGTTATTTGAAATAGATTGACCGAAGTCAGCTTAAAGGGTTAAATGCCTCAAATTTTGTTTAAAAAGAGCTTATTAAAAGATTTAACTTGATATGCTACGATAATCCATCCCCGTTTTTGATAACAAATGCATTTTGCTAACACAGCTAAGTTTTAGGTAGGCCTAATCAAATACGAAACCATACAAGACAAAAAAATAAAATTAGTAACTTATGCCTACCATTTTATAAGAATAGAGGATATCATTCCATGACTCATGCTGTAAAATAGACAACTCAACAATGAATAACCATGAATTAGAAGAATTGCCAGTCAGAAGTCTGGATTATGTCAGTTGCAATAATTTACAGAAAGAATCAGACTACTAAAATACAATGACTTTCAAAAAATAAACTAAGTTAAGCTAATCTGGCTCAGAGGAAATGTGTAGAAATGCTGTTTTCCACCTTGATAGACTAGCAAGGTTTAATAAATCATTTAACTGTGTAATAACTATGATTTGAATAAGTGGTTCATCATAAGATGTCCACCACTTGTTAGCCGATTCGGCTGCAGTTTTATAAGTGACCCGCAGAACAATCAAATAAATACCAGTACATCGATAATAACTTAGATTATTCGATTTACTGGGAGTTTTATTTGTTTAGTTAAGTTAGGTTAAGTTAATATATCCAATGAAATAATCGATATAGAAAATTTTATATATTTGTTGATTTGTAGGCTATACAAGACAGTTGAAACTGCAGCACCAATTCTATCATATTTACGATTACAAACAATAACACAGCTTCATTGGAATTTTTAATCATATCAATCTACCGCATCACTAACTTACCTAAACTTACTCTACTTTGGACAAATCTTGTATTAGGGTAATACCTTACAACTTCACAAAAACTTTGCACTGAAGGAAGTTTTTACAAATAGGCCTAAAGCTATCTTAACCCTCCGAGTGTTATGTGTCGAAAAATCGACACATACGGTAACACACTTTGTGTAGTGTTTTGTGTCGATTTTTCGACTCACAAACACTGTTCACGGCGAAGGCTCTATGACTGACAAAATCGGATTGAACTGGATCGAGTTAGGTATCGTTTTATTTGGCAGATTCTAAGCTTTCTTCCGAGGTCTGTCTCTAAGCGCTTTTTTTTCTCGAGCCGATCATAATTGTAGCAGACAGTTGACGTGCATATTTGTAAACAGCTTGGTTAACCTCGCACCGATGACTGATGTGTTTTATTACGTTTATCATTGTTTAGTGTTAAAAATCAAAATGGTGATATACGTGGTGCATTTATAAGAAGATTTAAGTGATTTTGAAGGGCTGGTTGATGATCCTGAAGAAGTAGGTACCGGTAGTCATATTAATGTAAATTATCAGCCAGATTCCTAGGTATGGTTAGGCTATGCATTCTTAGCTAAACGCTATGTACTGAAATCTGTTTTTTGCCCATAACTTATTTATTTGCAAATCTACTTCTTTATATTATTATATATTTGTAATCCTCATAAAATTTAGAACAAAGTGGCTATTTTCAAATATTTATAGGCCTATAATTTATACAATTTCGTTGAGCGCAAACTTATTTTTTATTGAAAATTTTCCAAAATCTTTTTGGTAATTATATCGACCTCCGGACCTCAAGCGAAATTAAAAATTTTTTTTTCCAAAATGTTCGAAATTTCACGCTGATTTCAAAAATGATTGTCGTTTTTTTCGGAAACGTCCCGTTTTCCAGGAAAATGGGAAAAACGGGAAAAATATTTTTTGCTCAAAACCCATGTTGTGGGTACTCAGATTGTGCGGAATTTCCTCCTGAACAAGAATATGTAAATTTTATTACGATCGGACCACTATTAAGTTGGGTTAGTTTGGTTAGGTTAGGTTAGTTTAGGTTAGTTTACTTACAATACTCATGTTATTGATAAACTTACCTAACCTAACCTAAGTTCCTAAGTTAGGTTAGGTTAAGTTAGGTTACACTAAACTAACCTAACCTAACCAAACTTAACCTAACCTAACCGAAACTAACCTAACCTAACTTAACCTAACCTAAACTAACCTAACTTAACCTAACCTAACCAAACTTAACCTAACCTAACCAAACTTAACCTAACCTAACGAAACTCAACCTAACCTAACCAAACTTAACCTAACCTAACCTAACGAAACTCAACCTAACCTAAACCAACCTAACCTAACTTAACCTAACTTAACCTAACCTAACCTAAACTAACCTATCCTAACCTAACCTAATCTAACCCTAAGTTAGGTTATGTTAGGTTAGGTAACCTGTCCGGTGATGTTTTACTTAAAAGCGATAGTAATAAAAACTACATATTCTTGTTCAGGAGTACCTACAACATGGGTTTTGAGCAAAGAAAAATTTCCCCGTTTTCCCGTTTTTCGGTGATATTTTACTTAATAGTGGTCCGATCGTAATAAAATTTACATATTCTTGTTCAGGAGGAAATTCCGCACAATCTGAGTACCCACAACATGGGTTTTGAGCAAAAAATATTTTTCCCGTTTTTCCCATTTTCCGGGAAAACGGGACGTTTCCGAAAAAAACGACAATCATTTTTGAAATCAGCGTGAAATTTCGAACATTTTGGAAAAAAAAATTTTTAATTTCGCGTGAGGTCCGGAGGTCGATATAATTACCATATTTTTTTTTACCTAAAAAATTTTTTCGAAACAAATGTTCCTTATGTTTTATGTATAATATTGAAGCCCATGATTTTCCAAACAAAATGGTATATAGAACAGTATAATTAACATTGTTTTCAAGCTTCTCAGATCCGTTTTAATAAAACCTTGCAAATGCAAAAAAAATAGGCATCAATACTAGGGACACTCGGAGGGTTAAATGTAATATCCAATTCTTGAATTTGATAGCAGCTCACAAGTCTAAAAATAACGGTTAAAGGGTAATTTAGGTTAGTGATAATTTACCCTAGGATCTAGGCCTAGGCCTAATTAATTCATATTTTAGCCTAACCTAGAAAATACTAAACTTAATAAGTTTTTAGCACAAATTATTTGAAATAGCTAGAAAATAAATGACATTCGAGATTCAAATCATTAATGACATAATAATGGTAAATAATAAACATTGACTTACCGTATGCAGCCAAAGACTCAATCTGCACTGTTGTTGCAAGTTTCAAAAGATGGGCAGATTCGAAAGCCTCATGCATGATGTAGGCCTATATGATAGCCTATTTTAAAAACTCCAACTTCAAGTCACTCCTAAGTCGGTTTATAGAGATAACAAGTTAGGGTAAATATGGTTAGACTACGATAAATTATTGCGATATACAAATCATTATTGATGAGTCAGTGTAAACATAACCTCAACAGTTTGTTTTGACACTTTGCTTTGCTAAGCTAAAAACCTCAGAAATAGTGGATAGTGCTGGGTTCACAACAGACCAACCGTATGATTCGGTTGTGTGTCGAAGAATATCGAACATGTTGTAAGTCGTATCTGTAATCGCATTGCATCGCATCGCACTCGCATAAGCTAGCTAACATTGGGATTGGATTGGAGTGCTGTCGTCCGTCGTCGTGTCGTCTGCCGCTCAAATGGTGAAATAATTGATTGAGGTTACTCATGTATGTTAATGTTTTTATCTATGTTGAGGAATTTCAATAAACTTAAGTTTATTTAGTTATTCCCAATTTTATAATTAAGTGAGGTTGAAAACGCTTTGCCCTATTAGAGTCAAACTATTAATAGCTGATTGTGAAAAACTGAATCAGCAAAATAAAAATACCAAATCAATTGCGCAAATTATTATGTCTTTTAGAAAACCATTTTAGGCCTTTTACTTATGGTTTCTGAAGTTCAAATATAAAAAACCAAATATTATTACTCCAGAATTATGATTCTAGGTTCCAATTATAGTTTTGGGAGGAGGGGGATTTATTTACATACAATTCCCCCATTGATAATTATATTAGGATGAAGCCTATTTAAGTTAATACAAATACAATTAGAAGTATGCTGGTCATATAAAAGAATGAAACTGACACAATAAGTTAAGATAGGTAAGTCATACAATAGTATGTTGGAAACAGAGCATATTTTAAGGGATTTCCACTGGGCAACAGAGGCGCCGGACTTACCGGGGTGGTATGGGATACCGGTGGTCGGAGGGTTCCCCCGGAAATTTTTCATAACTTAAATAAAGTGAAAAGAACACATATTTCTACGCATCTTCTTATGAATTTTACGATTATACTTATTCGCTTGTAAATAGTCCATATAATCTCACTTAATTATGTACCGGTATCCTAGAATGTCATAACAGGCCAAGGCTCCCTTCACAACCTCTTGGGCCAAAATCATAGCTCAATAGCCTACTCTAAAATATTTACATACCGTACTTAATTTTTTTTTTAATTCGGATACATTTCAAATGTGAATTATTTAAAAAAATATGCTGGCACCACCCATAGTCACTGGTCTACAAAATCTCAGCACTGTGTCACCCATTTAACATGTTATTTTATATACCCTGTGTTGGAATGTAAAATAAAATCAGGCCTAGATAAAAGCTTGCTTCAGACTGAAACTTAAGTGTGTTGGTTAGGTAATATTTTAAAATTTAACAAATTTTACCTTCAAATTAACTCATAGAACACATCTTTTTAACAGGCCTTCTGGTGAGTGGTAAAAAAACAGTAACACTTTACTCTTTGCATGCATCTTTACTAATCAAATTCGTTCAATACTTACCTACGAGAAATAATTATTTCAATAACTCTGGTTAAGTTAGTTATTTTGTTTCTGTATACAAATGTTAAAGCTTTATTTGTTTTAATCTACTTATGGATTGTAGGCTACTGTAACTTAAAATTGACTAAAATACAGCCACAATTTTAACTAGAAATGTTGGCATTCATTCTTATAATCCCACCAAGATGCCTTAACCTATTAAGGTTAACTTAGACTATCTGGGTGAGGTTTTAATTACCTTAATTACCACTGCGTTGCCGATGACCAGATGATTTGGATAGGGGTCCTCCAAACAATTGACCTTTAATGAACGACAAGATATCTTGTAATTATGTTTATCTTAATTATGTGAGTGTGAGTCAATTAAGCAAATTTGGTTGGATATTATGTTGAATTTGGATGCAAAGAAACGTAGCCTAAGTACAATAAAGGAAATGGGATCCACTTTTACAAGTAAGTTTTAAATAATTACTTACTGTATCAAGAAATGTTGTCGCTAACTTAAGCCGGGTTTTCCTAGGCGCGGAAGTGGAGAGCAGAGAGAGGAACGCGGAAAGCGGACTCCACTTGTCTTAGGTAATTTAATGTTAGGCCTACTGTTTTCCTAGAAACAGAGCGGAACACCATGTTAATCTCTTTTCCACTCTCCGCGTTCCTCTCTCCGCTCTCCGCTTCCGCGCCTAGGAAAACCCAGCTTTATGCCTAGACTGGTTATTAGGGCTTCAGGTAACTTCTTACTGTTTAAAATCAGAAGTGCATTTTAATTTGAACTATTAATTAACTGAATAAAATAAATTCTTGTATTTTTATTTTGGTAATCATACCTACTAGCATGCTACTACAGTAGCCCATACTCGCACCTATACTGACAAGTATTAGCGTCAGCTCTATTTATCAATCATAGGCCCTTCATAGCTATTATGCTATTATTTACATTTCCAGGTATAGGTGTTGAACTACAATGTATGTGGATTTATGGAAACTAGGCCCAAAGGTTAAGTACTGTGAATTAAGTTTAACTATTTTTTAACTATTTCAGATTTCTATTAACTCGCCCAAAGCTGTTGAAATCCTGGAAAAAGGCTGTCAAAAGAAAAAAATCTGAAAGAAACTGTTTAGTATTGATTCTTTGCAGTAAACATTTATCTGTTGACACGACGATGAAGTTTAAGTTAGATAAGACTTGGAGCACTTGTCAAGCTCCTTAAAGATGACGCTGTACTCACCGATTATGTACAGCAGTTCAGAAAAAAAAAAACACCGCCGTGGACAACTTTTCTATGGATAGCCTGATATTGTTGAGGTAAGATAAGTTATGCTTTTACATCTTAATTACCTATTAAGTTAAGGTTTTATCTTAATAACATAATGATCATAATAAACCTAACCTAACTCTGCAAAGCGCTGTACAGTGACATTACAGGGGGTTACAGAAAAACTAAGGCTTAGGTTGTTTGACAGTAACTGACTGACCATTTGAAATGTAATCGTTGCCAGTGGTCGTGCCCCCGTCTGGTATTACTCCACCAGAGAAGCAGTCCATCTTTAAAATACCGGTACCTTAAAATGAAAGTCTTCTGTGCCTTAGAAAAATGTTAAGGTTGTTTTCATGTATTATAAGATCGTACGAATAGGCCTACTTAATTTTAGGAAAAAATAAGCTGGCATAGCAAAATTTCACAGTCACAGAAATCGGTGCTTATCAGCTAACTTATAACTTATGATAATATTTTGGCCTTAAAATTCAAGCAGACATATAACCCTATCAGAACTACAATACTGTACTACCTATAATATTCAGAAATAATTAGGCTGTTGTCCTATTAAAGAATACAATTTAGCCTACAGTGTCAACATTTTCAGGTGCTAAGTGACTTTATCGTTATTCATGCAATGTTTTAAAGTCCTCAGATTATCCTAAATTTTTCCTTCCGGATCGATATCTGCCATATGAATCTGGTGACAACCTTACTTAACATAGGCCTAACTGCCACAGTGAGAGTAATAGTGACACTAACTTATTACTCTCACTGTGGCAGTTAATAGTGGCTGTAATTTTAATGAAATCCCTGTAAAAAAACAAAAACAATAAATTGTATTAGCTAATTTTGGTGGCACTTCCATACAAGGCCTGTGGCACAGCAACATGGAAGTATTTAGTGTAAAGTAATTTTATTATCCAACGGAACTTTGAAACCTAACTATACCTGATTTAGTATTCTATTATTTTTACTTTTATTACTTTTACCTGGTGTCAGCGCAAGTGTAGCCGTGATTTTTTAATTTTTACAGCTCATTACAGTAGAAACGAATTATTATCTCACACTCACAGTTTTGTCTAGTTTGGTTTCATCTTGATTGGTTTTTTGATTGAAACTGTTTACAAATCTGAATCAGTAAGGACCACCTCTTACTTTTTTAATCGAGTAATGTTTTAAAAAATCTATAAGGCCTTTTTTGTTTCAGACTCCAATTGAACCCATGGAGATTAAGACGCCAAGACAAAGCACAAGGAAAATCAAACGGAAATCAGCCAAATCCACCACAGCAAACACACTCAAATTGATAGTTCAGTTTCTCCAATGAAAAAAACTCCAAATGTAATGACCTAAGACTTGGATAAAAGAAGAATCACTTTGTTTTTGTGAAATGTTTAAATACACTGTATTTGGACTAATTAATTTGTTTTATTTACTAAACCTCAACTTCCTCATCAATAAAATTTCTATGGGGTTTCTAAATTCGAGTTACTCTTGCAAAATATATTTTGTTTTATTTCACAGTCATTGTTTTTTAATATTTTAATTCTTGCAATTTGGAACTTTAAGTTATTCAAAATACTTAACTGTCCTTCAGCATTGGAATTGTGCAATGTCAATGTTTCACAATAATTATAATTGCCTAATGAAGATCTCAACTTATAGCGAAGACAGTCAAACGGTAACAGTGGTAAAATATAACATTTTTTAGGACTCTAACATGGATTTTTACATAGCCTAACTTGAAAGAATCTAAGTTTCAGAGGTTTACTATTTTCATGCGTCTTGTTAATAGCCTAAACTTAATATAATATAAGCTATTTTGAAATTTATTTAATTACCCTTAAAATGGTGATTCTAATCTAGTAAGGAATAATTTCTGGTATTGTGTCTGATATAACAAATTCAAGAATTTTATAAATGTAGCCTATTAGTGAGTGAATCAGAATCATAGCCTACAGTAATAGGCCATAAATTGCATTCATGGTTCATGGTTCACCTTAAAAGGCGTTCATGGTCATGCCTTAATAAAAATAATATATTACTTTTATTTGCTTTTCCATACAGTTCTGCAGTGCTAACAGATTGTTATAATCATAATTATTTTAACTGTATTAAAAAAAATACATATCTTATTACTTTCAGGTCAGTTATGATTAGTTAGAAACGTTAAAGTATGATTTTTAGCCAGGATATATACTCTCTAGTTACAAAACAAAGGAATGCTTGCCATACTTATTATAAATATGATGAAGCTTGATTATAAATATGTTTCGAATTTTATTTTGGGCTCCAAGAACTGAATATGCAATGAAAACATACTCACAGTTCAGATGTTCAAATGCATTTAATCATGTAGATATATTACATGTATCTCTGAATTTTCAGCTATGTCAGGTAATTGTAAATAAAGACTACTGTAGTATAAGTATTAACAGAAATATTATCACCACAAAACGCATTTATTTAACTGTTTTCAAGTAAGAACTCGAAGGTTGAACATGCCTATCAGCCCATTTATTAGCATGCAATTTTAAATTTCGCGCCAACTCCGGCCTCACGCAAACATGGCAGGCGTATGACGCGGTGGGGAGAGAAGGCCACTGACTGGTGGGTGGTGTTACGAGAGACAAGGGTTCGTGAAACTGAAACAAGGTAGGCAACCATATTTATTTCACTTCACTCTCGCTCGTAACATAACTTACGATAACAACATCGGTTCGATTCTCTGCGATTACGATTTCGACTTTCAGTTGATAACAATCGAAACACAACCGAATCATACGGTTGGTCTGTTGTGAACCCAGCACTATCCAGAAATAGTAAGAAAAATAAAAGGTCTGAGGAGGAGAGGTATTTACTCAGGGGAGGTATAGAAGAGGCTACGATGACAGCTGTGGGCTTCTTATTAGCTGAGGGAACGCCATTACCGTAACAAAACGGTCGGTATACATCGGCCTCGGTGGTCTAATGGTTAGCGTGCCGGGCTGATATACTGTAGGTCCCGGGTTCGAATCCTGCTGGTAGCATTAACTTTTTGTCCAAGATTTTTTTATTATCAGCAAGTTTGGTTGGTTCGGTTCGGTTATTACAGTTTAATTTTATTATTAAGTCATTATACAATTTTAATTGAGCAAATTCTAGTTTTATTTAATAAATTATTAATTATTTTTCCGATTACCTACTAAACTTTTGTTATATTATTTCTTTATCAGCAAGTTTGGTTAGTTCGGTTAGGTTATGATAGTTTAATTTTATAATTAAAAAATAATAAAATTGAATTTGAGACATTTATAATTTTATTTTATGAACAGAACTATTTTTGCGATTAGTAAACCTTCATTGCCAAAGTGCTCTCTACTACAGCGCTGTTCATGGAGGAATTTTGAACTAAATGCCTCATTCGTACCTCCCCTAAGTCAGACCCAGGAGGAGAACACTACAGTACAGTATGGTGACAGGATTCGATATCATGTTATGAAGCCTTTCCCTCTTTTATGTAATCGGTTCATCGGTTCATTATTTTGCTTGTTCATGTATGTAATATTTTGTAATGAGTATTTATTCTGTTGTTATAACTAGTGATATGATGTCTCTTGTAATGTTAGCCTGTAACTATTTAATCTGCTTGTTCATGCATATGTATTACTTTGTAATGAGTTGGACCATTCAATGCATTAAATTTGAAACCTATCATTTTCTAGTCCTTTTGTATTGTATATTGTGCCATGTATTTGCAATTCTTGTATTTTTTTTGTATGCCTTCTTGCTTTGATGCGTTATTGTTTGATGGCATTTGCCGTATGAATAAATAAATAAATTGGTTTTGCACTATGCTAAGCCAATGCCAAAGAGGAGTACTGTGGCTGTTTTTGTAAGACAGAATGACATTGAATAGAATAATATGTATGTATGCAAATGAAGCAATCGTTGCTATCACCATTAAAAGGGGTTGTCAATTAATTACTTGTTGTAGTTCTACTGTTGTTTGTCTTCCTGTAAACTACTGAATCGTTGTTTTTTAATGATAAAATGTTACCGTACTTATGACGTATGTATGTTTTTAAGACTTCTTAATACACCGTATCTCTAAATGTCTATCCTACCTGCCCTTTCCTAGATCTTAGAGCCAAAGCCTCTCAGCTGGTTGATTCTTTGAGTCCATGTCTGTATCATCTTGTCTGGGTGGGTAAACACAGTAACATTTTTACAGAGGCTAAATAACGCACTTCTCAGCTCTTACTCCCATTTGATGGACAAAGTCCAGAGTGATGTTGACTAAAAAAGTGCCCTGCCCTTTTGATGCATATGATTTCTAATGAGCTTTTGGCTACAGAGTCCAGTCCCAGTCGGATGCTAGCATTGATGAAGCTAAAAACGTTTGATTGGGTGATGTGGACGTGTTATTAAGGTACTTGTTAAACTTGTTACTGCGGTGATCATTCGTTATTGAAGTGTAATCCTCTGGTGCTGGAGCCACATGTTGAGTAAAAACTTGTTGCTTTGCTATGGTATAATCGGTTAGTAAGGTAAAACCTTGATTCTGTGGTGGCATATGGTTATTTGACGTAAAATAATTTTAAGCACGTGAATTTCTGCTATTGCAACCGCTATTGGGCCCCTTACGTCAATAGATGATTCCTGCAAACTGCATATTTCTATCCATTGCGGTTTTTACATAAATAAAGATGCAAGTAAAAAAAAACATCCTGTATTTAGAGAAAAAGTACATTTTTTTAAGAGGGGAGAAACTTAATTTGGGTTGGAGATCTCCCTTTCTGAAAAGCCTTAAAGTATTCGAATCATATTGAATCATCTATTCTTATGCACAAAGAATGGAGTCATAGTTGACTACAGAAGTACAGTTTTTTTTTACTGTTATCATATTGTCACACCAAAAATATTTTTGAATTTTAAGTTGTTACCGCTATTCTCCTCAAACTTATATCACAGAGTGTAAAGTGTCTTGTACAGCTTTTTACCGACTAAGGTCATCTGTTTGTTTGGCTGTTTCCATTTATTAAAAAGCCTAAAGATAAAATGCAGCTGGGTCCAGTTTCTCGTCAAAAATCTACTGACTTTAGTTTGTCGATAAACTATTGAACAACAAAACAGCTGATCGCGGCATCCATTGTTTTTTACAAATACTAATATAACTTTTTAACATTGAACTAATGTTTGTTTATAGGTAAAACAAAAAAACAGAGTTAACTTTAAAAGGTCAGCTTTTAATGTTTTGTGTTTTAAATACATTATGTCACACATAACATTCTAAATACATACAAAATATTTACAATAAATTAAACTGAAGCTAATGATTTGTGAATTGTGATGCACACACATTTAACTGCAGATAATGTTTGGAAGTTTTAGCCAAATTTGAAATTGTTCTGAAATAGAATTTTTCCATGTGGACTAAAATAATGTAATTTTGTTTAGTGGTCAATCAGTAATTCAACAAAAGACATTAAATAACTTTTCAGATCTTTTTAGCTTGTGTTCCTGAGGGTAATAATCTCCTCTGTTTAGTTTAAAAATAGTAAAGATGATGATTCAGAAATCTGAAGAGTTGAACGTCTGTTTAGAAAGGCAGGGCTCTTGCAGTAATGACAAGTAGTTTGAGAGCCAACAAAGAACATGTAAGTTTGACAGAGTTGTGGATCCAGTACAACCTGAAACAACAACACAAATTGGTATCAGCAATCTGTCGCATACTTTCTTCCATTAGCTTGTCAACAACCCTTTTCAATGGCAAGTGATGGGAGTAATTATGATGAATATATGTTAATCGCCACCACTGACAATCGCTGCCAACTAAAATTTTGCGACAATCGCTACCAGTCTCTACCTGCGGCCGTGAGTCACCACCCTCACCCCTAAGTGACCGCATACCTTACTCCCCTCCCTTCACTTACCACCCTATTGGGAATGACCACTGAAGTAATACCCCAAAATGCCAAATTTTTACCTTCAGTACATTTTGGCTGTCGTAACTCATAATAGTTCTGACCGTCAACTTGTTCACTTTTATAAACACATCTAGTCCGGTTGCTGTGGCGTTATTTTGTGTGTTTTAGTAACATTTAGTTAAAAGTTTGTGTTGAATAATTGTTACTGCGCTTAAATGAAACTATCAACAACTAGTCAGGGAAAGTTATAAAAAAAAATATTTAGTATATTAAAGTGTTTTAGTACGGTTATTGGTAACGGAGAAAGTTCAAAAAATTGTAAATTTAAAATTCCCATGTTATTGTTATGGAGAATATTGTAAAATGTTGTAGTTTGCTTCTTTATAGATATATTTTGACCAAACATGGCAAATTTATTGATTTTATACTAAGCTATAATTATTTTACTTAAAAAGACACTTTATTAGTTTCCTTGTAGCAGCAAACCTAGGTACTCATTAAACCTAATGTTTTTAAATAAATTTAATTAAAAATTAATCAAGAAAAATGGAAATTCGCTTAGTCGACAGGTTTGCTGCGGCGGGGGTATTTTTATTATTGCACACATTATTATAATGGCAGAATATAATGCTGCAAGACAATTTTAATGTTGATCTATGCATTCCGTACGGTATTTCCCAAAACAAATTATTTTGCAACTCTACAGGGCAAATTCCATTATTAGGAATGAACATAGAGCAAGTTTTAGAACTAAACTTAGCAGAGTACCCGTCCTTCGTACGGGGTTGGTATATAAGTATAAAATGCTTTTTGCAGTTATACTCAAGCTTTGAGTTTGCAATGAGGGAGGACACAACAATACACATATTGACACAGTGAGGACACAGTTTGATAGGATTCGCTTCTTTAAATTTACAGTATTCTCTAGTATTACACATCTACCATAGACATATTGTTCTACCACTTCACCTAAACAATACAGAAAAATAAATTATCAAAAATCCACAAAATATCACAGATTATTCATGAAATTAAAAACATGAACATAACTGTAAACAATCCTACTTTGACAGTTAGTTCTCATTGCCTATCACAGTTTGTTCTTGCTGCTTAGTTTAAATTAGCTGTTTTCATAAATTCAAAAAAATTATAGTGCTGCACCCTGTTGGTAAATCTTATAACTTTTTAATGATTTTACATATCATAGAACCAACTTTTTTTAGTTGAAACAGCTGACTAAACTATTTAATTACCTTTAAATATGAATACTCATAAGGTTAAGATGTGGAACTACGGAGCCACTGGGGCGGAGCCCGAAAGGACTCTTGAGATAAGAATATGCCTATATGTTAATCGGGAATGTGAGCTATCATCATGCCAAATTTCAACCCAATCCGTCCAGTAGTTAATGCGTGATTAAACTTCAAACAAACAAACAAACAAAAAACACACAAACTTTCACATTTATAATACTAGCAGAGTACCCGTCCTTCGTACGGGATTGGCATATAAGTATAAAATGCTTAGTACAGTTATACTCAAGCTTTGCGTTTGCAATGAGGGAGGACAAAGTATGATAAAATTAGCTTCTTTAAATTTACGGTATACTGTAGTATTCCACATCTACCATAGCCATAATGTTCTACCACTTCACAAACAATAGACAATAAATTATTAATGATTCACAAAATATCACAAATTATTCGTGAAATTAAAACCATAAACATAACTGTAAACAGACAGTTCACATTGTGTATCACAGTTTTTTGTTGCTGCTGAGTTCAAATATGCTGTTTTCATAAATGAAAAAATAATAGTGCTGCATCCTGTTGGTAAATCTTATAACTTTTATGCTTTTGCATATCATAGAACCAACCTTTTTAGTTGAAAGAGCTGACTAAATTCTTTAATTTCATTTAAATATGAGTTCTTATAAGGTTAACATGGGAAACTCTAGAGCCACTGGGGCGGAGCCCGAAAGGATTTTTGAGATAAAAATATGCCTATATGTTAATCGGGAATGTGAGCTATCATCATGCTAAATTTCAGCCCAATCCGTCCATAGTAATTAATGCGTGATTGAACTTCAAACAAACAAACACACAAACTTTCACATTTATAAAATTAGTAAGATTAGTAAGATATGCGGTACGGTATTCCCACGAATACTAGCTAGTATTCGTGGGTATTCCCCAAACTAAATTATTTTGCGTACCTTCCTTCAACCTATATATATCATCTTTAGAAGGTCCAACGGTACAGTAACTACTCGAAGTAAACGTTTCAATTCCAATGGCAGACCAAAAAAGTATTTTTAAAGCCATGTATACTGACTAAAAACAAATAGGGTAAGAATCAATATAAAAAAATACATCAATATACAACATTGTGACGTTAACTATTGCAATCGACTGTCCTTTGAACTTATCGCTAACTCTCCTTTGGATCGAAAACAGCTAATTCTGGTACTAACTACTAAGTAGCCGTGATCATAGTATGACACAGTCTCGACACCCCCCCCCCTCCACGCAACACCCACGAACCCTTTTTCCAAGAACGGGCCGGACTGGTAGCGATTGTCACTGGTAGCGAATGTCACTGGTGGCGATTAACAGGACACCATTATGATATGTTATTAGTAACATAACAAAAATTACAACTACCTTTGAACCGTTTTTGTTAAGTTAATTTTTCTGTTATTTTAAGGGGGTTTTATAGGAAAATTACCATAAAAAATTAAAGTAAAAATTTGTTTAAAGATTCTGGAAACTACCGTGGATTAGTACCCACATGATGAATTTTATTAAAATCGGACCACAGGTGTAGTCTGTGGATCTGTACACATTCAAAATTTTTGGGATTAATTTTTTTTAATTTTTGGGATTAAGGGGGCCAAAAACGGATATATGAACTCGAAAATTTGACGAAAACAATACTTTCTCCGTATCATACTATGGGGAGAAAGAAAACATTGGCATTTATGTTTTAACGTCAACAGCGTACTTGTTGTTAGTTTTCGTATGGAATTACAACAGCAAATAAATACCCCCGCCGCAGCAAACCTGCAGACTAAGCGAATTTCCATTTGACTGATTGGATTTACACTGAAATGTCTACTTTAAAAATATAACATTTATTCTTGATTTCAATAGAATTAGTTTAACAAGTACTTAGGTTTGCTGCATCAGGGAGGGTAAAACTGTGTTTTTTTTTTTGTAAAATGTGAATAGTTAGTAAGAAATGAAAACATTTTCCAAATTTGATCAAAATATGTTCACAAACAAGCAAACTACAACAGTTTACTTATTCTCTATAAGAATAACATGGGAATTTTAAATTTACAATTTTTTGGAATTTTCTCCGTAACCATTAGGCGCATAATAACGCTTCAATATACTAAATTATTTGTTTTTTTAAGCTCTACAAAATGGTTTGGAAAGAAATTGCTAAATTTTATGTTTTTTGGGTCAGAAATGGGAAAAACCTATTTTTACCCCATAAAACCCCCCGTAAACCCCCGTTCCCATGGTCCGATCATGCTGGATCGTGAACTCGTTCGAATAAACGTACGTTTACAGGTTTGTACCAAATTTCATCAAAATCGGATCATTTTTGCTCGAGTTATCGTGTTGACGGACACATATATATATACATATAAATATATAAATATATATATATAAATATAAATATATATATATATATATATATATATATATATATATGAATTTGAACGGATGGTCCTCTAGGGACCTCAAAACGAAAAAAAAATCGGTCCCGCGTCCAGGTCTTACCATGAGTACTACGGTAATAGCTTATTCCCTATATGGGAAATTCACTAAAAAGCAAAATACTCTAGCCAATTGGGTCACTGGGTGTGTTGGTAGCCCAGTAGTTGGCATCGCAAAATTTAGTGCCTAAAGTGACTGGTGAAATCCCCTACTTATCCAAAGAAATGTGATGGCTTTAGATCCTGTGATAGTGTTTGTGGTTGCTCAACATATAACGCCAAAATTGTAAAAACTAAAAAAAAAACCGGCTACAAAAGCTAAGAAGGGCTTTGTAGAGAATTTAAGAGGATAATTTTTATGTCTGAGTTGGGGTTGAGTAATATGTTAATCCCTTTCATTAGATGTAGAAATGAAAATTTGTTTTTAGATCACAAGGATTACCATAACTTTACAACGATGTACTCTTAAAAGGTGGTGCTCTCATAGAATCGGAACTATGAGAGGATTGTATAGTTTGTATAAATTTCGAAAAATTAAACAAATATAGAATATTATAACCCACTTACCAATTATTTTTCCGCACAGCAGCAGGCAAACTGTCCAAATTGTCTTTGAAATAATAATATATAATCCCAAGTTTAATGATAACGAAGTGCTCCTTGTAGTCGATGTCCCTCACGTCAAAGAAGAAAACCCTCTTGTCTTCTTCACTCAAAGATTCCCACAACTCCACAACATTGGCGTTTTTGAAATCCCATTGTTGAAAAGCGAAGTAATCAGTTTGCCCCTTCAAACTTTCTATCTTTTTGTATATCTTTGAAAGCCTGAAAAGTAAAATTTGCAGATATAGTATTCGTTATATTTGAAGGTTTCAGAACCTCGACCATTAACAGCTTAGTTGTTTCAACTGTAGGTGAAACGAATATGTCTGACAAAATGTTCCATACCCATAAACAGCAGAGTAAATACAAAAATTGTATATTTCATTACTAGGACCGAAAGTGCCATTTTCCGGTGCCTGCATTTTTCGGCTTTACCTCACAAAAGAACCCCCAATTTCACGTGCGATGCGAAACCGAGGACGGGAATAATGGAGCAAGTGCTGGAAAATAACTTTCGGTGCGGAACTTTCGGTTTTTACAGGTTCGGAAGTGGCAGGCGGAGAGTTGAGTGCAGAGAAGTGGTTTTCCTCTCGTCCAGTAACAGTACTCTCTGCTTCTAGGAAAACAGTACCATAAAGACTAGAAATACTTGGGTCTCGAATAATCAATAAATAAAAAAAAATCCCGTTAGTTCGAATTTTCTCGAGTTTGCTCCGAGACGTTTCGAGACGAGATAAAAAATATTCCCTATATGGAAAATTGGCTAAAAACTAAGATCGCCTTCGCAAAGGAAACGCAACAACAACGCGCTCCTGTATTGCGGGTGCTGCTGAGACTTTTTGAAGGCGTGTTTTAACAGTGTACATCTCAAAAATCGGTAAAATCGGTTTATCTGGAAATTTGTTTATTAGTAATGAATGACCCTGGTCCTGTCTATGCCGGATACACGAGGTTTTACTGTAAATTATATCATTATCACCGAGATCAGAAGTAACACTGTACAAGCTACAATAATTGTTATAACTATTTTGTTTCGTCTCCTACAGATTGTTGTGAAATTGTTGTTGTGATACAGTTAGATGTGGTGTGCATGTTAAAGTTTTGTATTAAAAGATGTCTTATTTTATTTTTATTCTTTCCCATTTAAGATTTTCATTACTATTTAGGTTCCTGCAAGATTTTGTTAATTTGTACAGTCTTTTTGTATCAACCTTTGTAATAAATAATTAGTTACTGTACTTTAGTTGTTGTTTTAATAGTGATTTTATTTATTAACTATACTAAAACTGCACAAACGAATAATTCTCGATGGTAATAAGATCTATAATCTCGTCTAAATTTTAAATACAGACATGGACGAGGATGACTAGGTAAAATCGTAAATGCACATGTATTACTTAAAACTAAAAATTAAATATCTTAGGGAAAAAAGTACTTATTATAACTAAATTTCAACATTTTTAAGAACTATGTGTGCATCATTCCCCAATGTGCGTTTTTATTATAAACATCTCACTTTCATTTAGTAAGGAAAAACAAATGAGTTTTTCGAGTCTTTTTATTTGTTTACCCTTACGCTGTTGAACAATTACGTTGAATTTATATACAGATATGACAACTGAATCGAGACATAGTTCAGTCCCTTCTTCCTTGATTTTTCATTCTGAAGAGTCTCTGTTTGGTTCTGAGAATTTATAAATTCATATTATAACACCATTACCTAAAATGAAGCTATATTCTGTAAGTTAATCTAAGGTGTTAACTGTTAATTAATGTTCTCTTACCCTGGATTTCCCCCAGTAAGTTCAGCTGCTTTGTCAAATATTCTTGCCGGTACTGTGTGTAAAAGATAGAAGAGGATGTCACTGAGTTCGTTGTTCCTAGTGTAGAAGAACGAAGTGTACCAAACCGACCGATTGAAGGGAAAGGTGTCTCTAAGATTGATGAAATATTCAGCAACGCTTTTCCAAACGTAGCCAGACACCATTGATGTTGAGGTGAAGTTAAAAACTTTGGGGCAATCGGTGTTTCTGTTCCTGGAAAAAGTAGTGATAGGTTAAGATTACTATTGAATTATTGCTAGTTAAAGATTCCAACAGAAAACATGAATGTGGCTATCCTTGCTCTGTTCAGTGCCTAGAAAACCCAGCTTTGAGAAACTGACCTCAGTTGGTATAATTACAGGAGTTAATCTGGCATAATACATAAAAAAATCTGGTGTTAGACTTAGGACGCTTCATACAACTCTAAATCCTTAGGGGCTTATTCTGTAGAGTTAAAGGGGAAAAGAACACGGTGCAGATAAAATCTAATATGCAAACCAATGTGTTTTTCCCTCTACTACAGCTGAGTTTCTCTATCAACAGCTTGTTTGAGCAAAACTTCACCGAGCAGAAAGCATATGGTATCACACAAAGTCTTAACTTACTTCTGGTTCGCTGTGTTCCAAGCAGCTGCAATCATACAGTTGACCACATAGTCCACTGGAACCACATCCAAGGTCAAGTCCTCGTCTAAATGGAAGCAGTGAATAATCCCATGGCCGACCCCTACCATGAGTCCGGTTGGTCCGTAAAGGTTGTCCGTGTATCCTCTCACAGGCTCAAGGTATGTTGAGATAACTGGAAATATCCAAATATTTTGTATTGCAGGTAAAACACAAACTAGGATTAGACTATTTGTACTAATCTGTACGAAAAAAAATTAGTAACGTTTTTTATGTTTTTTATAGACTCTTCCTGTCATAGGAGGGGTCAAATATTGTGAATAGGAATTGTTTAGCAATGTTGTGCAAGTAGGCTGGAAGAGTTATAACTACTTGTTGTGCTGACCGACAGAAGGATTTAAGTGAGACAGTGATGCACTTGATCAGGGGTCACATTTTTGTGTTGTACTAAAGGACAGGGTCCTGCTGGGGAAGCTGGAGCCGAAGGCTTTTGGACTAGAGGTCCAGGAAAGACAATCTTAAGGGTTTTTAAAATTTAGAGTAATTTTCCAAATTGGGGTTCCTATCATTAAAACTTTTTTATTCATCTCTGTACCTATCGGTCTTTATTCATAGTCTGTGTTCTTTGTGGCCTAATAATAAAATTTGGGTTTTTAATCGAGTGCTGAGCTTAATTCCTGAGTTATGTCACCCAGCGCGACTGTGAGTGGGTCTCTAACTACCCTGCAAGTTTATCCATCGTTACAATTACTCGATATATTTTTCTCTGACACAACATAAATCTCATCATTTGTTGGCAAGATACTTTTACTGATGGCTTGAAGTTGTATACCAACCAACAGATGGCCTGAAGACACAAGCAGGAAGATCCTTTGCCTCTTCTCTCATCATTTCCTCACAAACTGCTTTGCTGAATGTGTAGGTGTTGGGCCAGCCTTGCATCAATCTGAAATAGAAACAGATTTTGCATTCTAGAAGGGAGTATTTTAAATTCTAAAAACAAAATACCTTAATATTATTCTACATAATTTACTTTATTATTTCCATTAGAAATGTTTAGATTTTACTTGCTCAAAATTATGTAAGAAGCTATGAATTACAATCAAATTACCTACCATTTTTGGTGAACACACAACTGTTGGGGATACTAAGTTATTTCAACATACTGTTCTTTGAATAATATTATTAACATTTGACCCTTAAACAGACTCTTTAATAATCCAAAATGTGTAAAATGTAAGACAGAATATTTTAAAATATAAATTAAAAATTGTTTTCCTGTCATAAATTCTGTATTTCTAATTCTTAGTCACCTACCTAGGTGTTTCCTCTTTGAGCTCTTCGTCACTTTTCGACTCAATGTATTCGAGCACCTCTTTGTAGTTTACACTCAAGACTGGGATATTTTCCTCCACTACCTTTCTCACACAGAAGCTGTAAGCCGTGGAAACATGTAAGTAGGACTGGAAAAAATAGAAATTGCTGGAGACATAAATATTAACACAGCACTGAAGTTTGTAAGTCTTGACAACTAAAATCACTTAATTTGTTCATAAGTATGTACACTTATCACCTCTACCCTAACTCATTCAGCGTTAAAATACGCAACCGATTTACGATTCTCAAACCCTTTTAACAGAATAGCCACAATGCGAAAAGTATAAATTTCAAACCCCTTTCTTCTGCTTTTGCTCACCTGTCTTGTATGTACACCCTCAACATAATCAAGTCACCCCAATATTCTATATTCCTTTTTCAGCCCCCTTAAAGGTTGTTAAATATTTCGACGCACAACTTTCATCTTACTAACACTCGTCACTACCATTATACCTTCATCTACATACCCTGAGGTTCTTCATCCCCTTGGCCAGCTCCAGGACACGACGGCTGCCCAGGACGTTGGAGTTGATGGCTGTCTTGAGAGGCTCGATGAAGCGGACGTCCGCGGCGCTGTGGAACACAATGTTGACGACATCACAGAGGAGGTGGTGGTCCTCAGGGCTCAGCCCTAGGTCGGGAGTGCCGATGTCTCCTTCAACAGCTGTCAGTCTGGAGGCGTAGTCCGGCACCTCAGCCTTCATGCGACGGAACACCTGGATAGTAGGAGAAAACACTCATGAGAAGATCAATTGAAGATATATTTTTTGTATTTGGAGTGAAAATGGAAATACCAAGAGACTCATGCCTTGAAGATGGGCATAAACAGCGGTTTATGTCCAGAAAAGAAAGTTAATGTTTATATTAAGAGTCATTTTCGGCGTTTTTGTCATTTTAATTTCATAAAATATTCAAATTTGCTTCTCTACCTGTTTCCAACGTGTGATCACTGTAACTGATATACGACAAGTAAAAACAATCTAATTATCAACGTGCAAATCTTAAATGTATGGATTTAAAAAGTTAGTCTATAGTACAAACTTAACTTAAGCTTCCTTTTGAATTTTGTCAACAATGAGTCATGTAACCTATAATTTATAAGCAGTACATAAGAAACACATAATACCATACCTTATCTTCTAGCAAATCTTTAAATCGCTCTTTTGGAGTTTTCCCTTTCTTCCCTCGAATCAAGATGTAAATATGGCCGATGTTGGGTACACATCTGATCAGTTTCTCTGTCAAAATCTTGCCTACAAATCCTGTTGCTCCTGTGATGAGCACATTCGCTCCTCGGTAGAACTCCTGGATAGGAGTGCCTACTGCACTCTCTACTCTCTCGCATTTCTGGAAGTCTCTCTCTCCTAATAATTCTAAGGGATCTTTTAAAGCAAGTTTCTCATAGTAGTCTTTTTCCTTTGGAGCTTTGATATACCTAGCAGGAGCTGTAATGTTGTACTGAAGGCTAAGAGAATCACCCAAGAAGGTTGACAAATCTAGCTCTTCCTCTTGAGCCATGTTTCTGAAAAAAATGTTAATTTTGTTTATCAAAACATTTACCAATAGCATAGCCTCATTTCTCATCTAATACAAGGCCACGACGTTGACATGTGCCAACGTCGCACCAGCCAACCTGTTGCCATGGTAATACCTGTGATAAGCTTGGAAACATAATCATTGCACAGACGCTCCATCATGAATTAGTAACACAGCTGTATCAGTAGGCCTGGTCTGCGGTGTTGCCACATTTCTCCCTGCGGCCTTGTGTTAGAGGAGGCCATGCTAATGTTGATAATTAACAGATAACGTAATGTAGATTTATCCTTTCACAACCTTAATACCTGATAGATTTACAATTACTATACTATCGTGAATCCAAATCTAATAAATAATAGAGAACATCTAATCTATTAATTCATCTATCGGGTGCGGATTCAGCTCTATTCAATATTGATTTCTTTAGAAAGTCACCAAACTGCTTTAAAGATACCAACTGTTTTACTTCGGGTCCCCCTAATTTCTTGAGAGAGTATCACACCCCTTAACTGGTCCCCCTTTCCTGAGGTCCTAGAATTGCCACTCATGGTAAAAATAGATTGAATATTATATCAAGTTTAAGCCAACACAACCATTCCGTCTATTTATACATAACTAAAGGTGATAACCATAGAGGTAACTGCCTTAGAATATCTGCACTGATTAAAACCCTGCAAATTATTTACCTACCCTCCCTTGATGTGTGACAAGAGGTAAATGGCCGTTTCCAATAGTTGGATAATTTACAAGCCAAAGTTGGTCTAAGGGATGATTAATGTAGACGGTCGTTACGAGGTGATTGATGGATGTAATTGTTGGCAAACACGAATTTGATCCTCATAATTTTTCAACGGTTTGGTTTTGAATATCATATTTATTTTTCGGACGAATATGAAATTATAATCATTCATGTTTTAAATAAAATTTAATTGTGATGATTAATTAATATGAATAAGTTTCAGTTGAAGAAGCTTAAGAACTAAAATGTAACTAAAATGTATTTGAAATTTCGGATGATTTTCAAATTTTTATTAGTAATTATTTTTGTCAATCTCATGTATGGATGTATATGCCTTATTGTAAAGAGCTTCAATTTATGGTCCGGTAATAAAGTAATGTTAACCATCCAAAGTTTATCTTACTTCGAAGCTTACGTAATATAATACTATTATTTTATACCACGATTACTAGAAAAATACCAAATACGCACAGAGTGGCGTCCCCATCTTAAATAATTGATAATTGATAACCTTCCTCAGGTAAATATAAAATTATACTACATATAAATTGATGTCATTTCAGGTTACATTTTACACAATATATTATGTGACATAAGTTATGAGAAATGCTTACACATACTTCCCTCGCATATAAATAAATATTCTTTCTTTGACCCAGAAAAATGGGTTTACCTAAAAATCACTCTTAAAAACATTTGAATTTATCAAATTAAAACATAAACTACGACACTCTTTTTTTATCGCAAAAATGTAATTTCATTCTGTTTTAAGTTATTGGAGTTAGCAAGGCTACAAAACCCCAAAGTCTTTGCAAAAGACATGAAAATCAAAAAGGTGTACCATTATTTTGGGTCACCGTAAATATATAGTTCGTAATTTACTTAATCAAAGTACTGTACATATGGAACAACTTTCAACATCCAATACATGGATCAGAACAGATTATCGATATGATTGCAATATCGATACCTATCATACGATATTCCCTTTCGGTAAGTGATTTACTGACTACCAATAGGAGGTAAACCCACGAGCAATATCAAACGGATTAATTTTCCAGAGATTTGGTTTCCTTTTTCAACCCCCGTCATACACTCTAGTTTATTTAGATGTCACCGCATGAGCGAGGTTAAATGACTCTTTAGCTTAGTGTATTGATACTCTATTACTGTAAACGAATGATTTGAATGTATAAATGTATGATTGTAAAGATGCAAACAGTTGTCAATTTCTATGCGGAAAAAAACATTGTCAATAATTTCAAAACTAAATTTAGATTCTTTTACTAGAATAAAGTAATTATGCATAATTATGCTAAGACAAGTTATGGAATAAAAAAAAATTATAACTGGAAGAGTTGACCGAATATATAATAATATTCTGTAAGTTACATATTTTAAAAATATCTACACATATATTTTATATGTAAGGAGTATAATAGTGTATTTTATCTTACAAATACTAGCTGTTACAAACACTTTTAATAACTACGCAATACTACTGATGATTGGGTAATTCTCAGGTAAAATTTGCCGACAATTTAAAAGCAAAATCGACAGCTGATGTCAACGGTTCCATAATCTTTGTTACGTTATATTTTCTGTTCTAATTCTTCTCCTCCCTAGGTTACTAGTACATCTATAAATATAACTTCAAAACTCAAGTAATAAAGTTGTATAATTATGTAAGAAAACAAAAATAATCAAATACGCTTTTTAAACGTTTACAACAGAATACATGTCTACTATAACTTAAACATTGGTTATCTTGTTATCTGACAAACAGCAATCAGATATAAGCTACGAGAAAAGTTTTACTTACGATAAGACCTTCTGTTACAATGCCCACGGCCAACTGTCTTAGATAAGATCGAGTTTAAATCAAGGGAAAGGAAGATCCCTGAAGGCCATCGGACAAACCGATTTACTTCAAAATATTATTACATAATTGCATCATTAACAGAACTGAATCCCTTTTACTGATAATAGCTAAAACATAACAATATAACTTCCTTAGTCAGCGTTTATTTGTAAAAGAGCTACGCGAAGGTAATCTCAAAAGAATAAAAATATCTGAGAAAAAGGTTAAATACCTGCTATACTGTATGTGATCCTGTTTTTAGTCAGCGTCTAATATTACGAACCTAAAGGTTCATTTTCAAGCTTTTTACAAAGTCAAAAATCATTTACGCCACACTAAACTATTTTGAAGAACTTCCCACGCAAGGATTTAGTCCAGAAAACAGCTGTTTGCCACCAGCTTAATCAAATGGGGTTTCATTGCGTACTACCACTGCAATGAGTTTTTCCGGACACCAATCAGCTGATTATACTGTATTTGGGTTGCAATGAGTAGTTATAAACAAAAACATAACCTCTCTTTATAACTAGTGATTTGTAGTCCTTTAGTTGGTGGTAATATATAAGGATTCGTACAGATTTAGTAGTATGGCGTAAACTATCGTACGTCACTCGTCCAAAATGTGTGTACCGGACTCGTATGGTAATCCCGTACTCGACTTCGTCTCGCACGGGAACGACCACACTCGTCCGGCAAACACTTATTTTCAGGACTAGTAACGTAATATACTATTTCATGAGGCTGAGGGGAGACGTAAAATACAAATAACACTTACACTTACACAAACACCAAAATATTTTCACGAATTTGGCCAAATTATAATACTGGAAATGGTTGCTTGGTGTAGCTGGCAAAAGATTACTCATGACAGGCAAAAGATGAGTCATTTCAAGCAAAAGATGAGCAATTACAGTTAAAGATGAGTCATGATATGCAACAGATGAGCCATTATAGGCAAAAGATCAGTCATTATAGGCCAAAAGATGAATCATGCCAGGCAAAAGATGAGCCATTACAGTCAAAGAAGAGTCATACACCACGCAACCGTTTCCAGTATTATAATTTGGCCAAATTCGTGTTCAATGTTTTCGTGTTTGATACGTGTTCTAGACTCTTCACAACCCCAGTGATGAAACGGATTTTTGACTTGGTAAAAAGTATGAAAATGAACTAGGTTCGAATACATGGTAGTTGACTAAAAAACAGGATCACCAACAGTACAGCAGGTATTTAACCTTTTATTTTTTTACGTGATCCAGAGAATAAACATCTTAAAAAAATTCTGGATTACAGTTATTGAGAAAAAATGTAAAAAGATGAAAAAAAATATTAATTGTTACCTATATCGCATAGCTACGTTTGGACGTACCTATGGTAGCGTAAACGTGTCTATCACTAACTAGAAAGATTAAATTCCTCATCATAATTCTTTTTAATATTTGTTTAGTTTTTAATTTTGGTTAACATTGTAAATCCGAACGTAGAGTCAAATTACACCTCTGAGGTGCGATGGAGTAGCTTCATTTCGTTTAATGGTGTAATGGATACCAAAGGTAGGGGAGAGGGGTTGGGGGGGGTCCTAAAAGCTGTTTTGTTGACCTAACCACCAAAATCCGTCGACAATCACGGCGGATTTTGGCGGTTCGCCACCAAACAATATTTAATGGCCGGACACTTCCTTCCTCTACTCTACATTTCAAAACTTCGCAGACAGCTTCTTGAAAATACTGAAACTCCGGTTCCTGCCGATAATTTTGTTCATTCATCTTTGATTTGTAATAATTCAGACACTACGGCCTCTGTTCTGTTAAACCACTAAGGTTAAATTTTGCAGAAATATTATAAATTAAATACTTTTGATTTACTTTAGTACTTTATTCTGAACTGACGACCACACGAATGTAGGTATTTTAAGCCAAGTATGAATGGAAATGAGTGTAGGATGAGTGGAAATTATTTGTCTAATCGTATAAAATATTTATAAAAATGTACCTTATGTATTTGTTGCTTCAATGTTCTAAAACTTAAAAATTTAAACTATCTTAAATCATTTCTTGAATATATTGTAGTTTATTTAAATTTATACCTATTTTTAATAAGTTCTTACAAGAATTACATTCAGTTCTCATTGCTAAGGAAAATCAACTGTTTACTTAAATCTTCGTTTTAACTTCCTAAAAAGCATTGTTAGAAAATTAAATTTCAAACTGATTTGGTATAAAGGTACAAGTTTTTTGAGCTGGTTAAAACTGTATTATATATGCTCAGCGATGAAATAACTAAAGTAAACCATCGATTGACTTAAGTTTTCGTCGTAAAAAGAGTTTAAATTTAGTCACACTTGAAAATTTATATTACATCACAACACTTCACTGTGAATCTTATGCTAAAAATAAGTATTTATCTAAGTACATAATTCATGTTTTGAAGAGTATTCGAATCTAGTAAAACCCAGTTCATCGCATATGGCCTTAATGCAATTGTATTAATTCCTATTCTATTTCTATCCTATCTAGAAGCCAGAAACGTATAATCACTTAACAAAATAACAATTAAACCTAACATAACAATAAATACGTATTTAACACACACGTTTATATACAAAGCTTTTGATCGCTTTCAAAATAATCTGGTATGAAATTTTCATTTAGTACTAAATTACTTACAGATAATCATATGTACACAACGGTATGTAATACCGCCAGCAAGATATTTCTTTAAATAAGTAGTTAAAACAGTTGCCAAGCCATAAAATCTATACATGAAGTACTTGCACTTACAATTTTCACAACTTCTCACTTCTCAAAATTGCACTTCCTATTGTTTGCTTGCACTGATTCATTACCTTGATGCCTTGCAAAGTTATGGAGATCACTAAACAATGCTCAGAATGGACGATGGGCTCTACAAGAAACTGAAAGTACTGTTAAGCATTTCAGGGTAATAATCTTGACCGGACGACCAAGCACTCAATAACACTTACCCGTGGCCCATTGTATTGTAATTATAGGGTACTGTGGGTTCTAGCCTCCACGAAAGACCAAACCAGTAAAGTCATTGGGTTTCGTGTGAAATGTGTGATACTAATTTGTAAGTTTCTTTAGAAGTGATAATTTGTGGCTATAAAGTTGTTAATTTCTCTCCATAAATTGTACAACGACTTTGCAAAAAGACAATTTTTCCTTTGGAAGTGATGTAGGCGTAATTATTGTTTTCCCTTCTTTCTATAGGTTCTAGCTCATAATAGATTTTTTTTAATACTTCAGGTTAGGTTTAGAAGGGGTTGGGTCATTTTCACTCACATAAAATCAAAATATTTTGGTTACTGGCGGAATTCGAACCCGGGATCTCAGTGAGTGCAGTCCCATGCTGTACCACCATACCACATCGCTTCCTACGTTGTAATTTGTCAAGACACAGTGGTGTAACAACACATAGTAGTTACATTATTTATAGTTTAGTTAAGCAGGTTCTCCTACAAGATACAACTATTTCAACTAAATTATCCTGCTTTAAAGTTAATTTTTGGTGAGTTTGTGTTATTTGATTGATTATTTCAAACATTTTCCATCTCAATTGGAAAAATAAAATTTCGTAAATATTTTTACGACGTTTTGATATCTAGAATCTGAAACGACCTCGGGTGACAAATTTTAAAAACACAACAAAAATACTACGCAACTCCAACCTGATTGTGTTCTAAGTTCATCTTCGAAACAACATTAAACTTATAAGTTTCAGTATGCATTTGTATTTTGTATTTGTATTGTATTTGCATTTTTTGCAGTATGTATTTGGCTGGGCTTGAGAAAAGAACAATAACGCATACTTCCTTCCAAGCACGGGTTCAAATTTCACCAACCAATGACTTTTACAATGGACTATAATTGCAATATTGTGGCCCAGCAGTATTTTTAGCACATTTTCAAATATTCTAAATCCCCTGTAGAACCAATTGATAGTTCAGTAATCCAAACAGCCATTATAAGTGGGGTTATTTTCCCCAATCGTGGTCTCCACGTATGGTCCCCATTAACCCTTGGCTAGTAACCAAAACTGCTGCCCTTTCCCAATTTGGAAGCGAATAGTCATTTAATTTATGATGGGTAGAATTTGAATTACTTTTAGTATTACGAGACTTGTTTTAAAACTTGTATTTGCAGTCAATTTTATGTACTTTCTTGCCCCGAAACGTGATTTAGATTGGTGTTTGAAACGTAAAAGACAAACTTTACTTGATTGAACTTTCCAGATTGTATAAATTAAGTTATATTTTATATTTTTTTTATAGTAATGAAAAATGCATGCAACAGATTTTTTTTACATAATCCTTACAATTAATACCCATGAAAATATATATTATATATTGATTTTTAGAAACATCAAGGCATAAACTTAATACCATGCCTTATCAAGATGCTCTCGTCAATTATAACGTGTAAATATTCTACTTAGATAAAGAATAATACAACCACAAGAAGCGTGTTAGTCGAAAACAATAATATTATTTACAGGTTGAAAGAGAAAGTGGGATAGGTAGAGAGTGTGAGTAAAACAGTATAAAGTAACACTTCCGATATATTCAATCGAGTTGAATGATGTAAATTGATTCAATGCACTGAGTTAATGATGGAATTTTCAAATTTATTCAATCATAAATATTCGTGCACTCATACTGTTTAGTGCTTACGTGCGGGAATGGCTCTTACCTACCAATGAATTCTAATTGAAATTTGAATGGATAATGCCTGAAACTTATGAAAAAATGTAGACTGGGACGGTGGCGACGTCCTGTAATCCAGCTACTAGGAGGTCACGAATTGTTGATATTTATAGGCATTCACAGTGGATACGTTACTCCCTGTGTGGATTAACGTCCGCATTAGTGATTACTACGACTATCCGCAGAACTATCCTGATAATTAGACCAATTCGTTAATACCAAGGCAAAAATGTGGTTCGGATTCCAATATAAACTGTTGGTCCCTTAGTTGCCATTAGCTGTATGGGTTATTAATTAACAGCTTTGTCTAAGGAACATGTCGGCCTTAGTCACTAACAAGACTTCAAGATCACGCCACTCATCCTACACTCATTTCCATTCATACTTGGATTAAAATACCTACTTTGTATGGTCGCCATTTCATTGAAAAGTATTAACCAGTGAAGATTATTATTGAGCATTTCTATTTAAGTTGATGCGCTTTTATATGAAACAGTGTTTTAATGTTGCAATTTTGTAAGCAAACTCAAGTACTGAACCATTTACTCCTTGGCCCAAAGCCAATACTTGCCCTACACCAATATAGTTGCGGAATGGCTTTAGGACCATGTTACCACATTTAGAGTAGAGATTCAAAACATTAAAGAATTTTATCACTTGAATCCTAAAAATATCTATAGCGAGTTTGAAATGACTTAACTATGATGTATTAAAACGTTCAATTGATTGAGTTTGGTAATAATTTACTAGAATGTGTGTTTTTCTATTTTTAATTTAATTATTTAGAGCTGACATAGGCCTATCACACATTTCTGTACTCTATACACAAACTTTTACCTAGTTAAAAAGTGTTGTTTAGTTCGACAATTCTTCTATAATAGACCATTTACTACTATAAATTAGTAAAATATAAACTAGTAAGAAATATAGCGTTATGCAATACGATTAATGAAATGCACCTAGTTTACTTGTTCAAACTAATTTTTTAAACTGTTAAGCACGAGTCTAGTCAGTATTTGTTTATTTATTCTTATGTGAACAATACGATTGGTTTTACGTTAAAATACCATTAAACGTTTGACTGGCTTTTATAATTTTATCAGTAGTTAACGGTAAATGAGCGATGATTGTTTAGCATTTTATATTACTTTTAGCCAAGGGTAGACAGTTCCTGTTAACATATTCGGAATTAAATAATTATAGTGGGTTCTTTATACCATTTATTCCTAGGAATTGTTTTGACATTATTCATCAAATTTTATCATTGTTCAAATATGCAAAACGATCAAGTTGTAAATTGAAATTAAATTTATTTATTTAAACTTTTTTGAATACTTAACATCTCTAATTAGTTTAACTTTAGCCCAGATCTTTTTAATTAACATGACGGATTTAATATCTCAAAGCATGAAGTATTGCATGGAAACGATATTTTGTGTCAAACTTTTAATTAAAATCTGTCACTTTTTGTAGCTTTGGAAGAGTGCTGAAGAAGCGGTCGTTCGTTATAAATCAGTGAGAGTTTAATAAAGTTTTTTAAACCCTTTCTTCCTACAGAAAATCACAATACGGCTCAACCTGTACTTAAAAATCTGAACAATTTACATAAAATTGATCGTTATTATCTAGATATATCTAAAATTGAAGTTGAACTTCGCTAGAATGAGTCCCTGTTGTCGGTTTAAAATTAGTTTTAAATAAAAAAACAAAGACTGCATTTACATTATATATATATCTTGTGTTCTACACAATTTTTTAAATGTTAACGCGTTTAAACCTCGTTTCAAATGTACATTATTCTGTTACACACTTAGACTTGGTTTAAGAAAAATTTAAATATTTTTCTCCATTCCAAGAAATTTTATTTTATCTACACCTTGTCTATCAACATTAATGGAGTGGAGCGTGCTTTAAGACACACCGTTTGGATACAAATTTGAAAAAAAGGGTTCATTGACCACCCAAGAACAAAGGAAATGACAGCGGTTGCCACTTAATTATGAATCCAACAAATTTACATTTACAATTCTTGTTTACTCAAAGACAATCGACACTTTTTGTAGCCCTACGTTGTCATGGGTTTGTATCTAATGTGTTAGTGATGAATTAGGTTATATTTGTATGTGAATTCGGATAGTTTCAGATAGTAAGTTATACAATTAATTTATGCAGTATACGTCATACTTCATTATCATGTCATCATATTTTCGTTACTCATATTTCGAATTACAGAATTCTATTCTTTAACTAACGAGAAGGCACGTAGAATTTAAATAACATTGTTTCGTATTAATTAATTTAATCGATAATAATTATACTTGAGGACCTTTTAATTCAAATTACGTTTAATTTTGCTTTGGAATCTTCAAAATATTTAATTATTTTCGATTTTACGTAGATATAGTAATGTAAACAATATGCTTTGAGATAATTATTCTAACATTGTTATTTTATATTTTTTTAAACTAATTAAAAATGTGTGCACAATGTAATAAACGACAATTGAACCTTGAAATTAACAATCTGTTTACGATTTTTAATGATAACAGTGATTCATTGATATTTGTATCTTTATCAAAAACATATATGACGAGACCTTTAATTAATTTTGTTTGTTTGTTTTCCCATCAATGCAATTGGCATTAAGTTTAAATTGTTTGTAAGAAAATGGTCCAGACCTTAACATTTTTTAAAGATATGGATACATTTTTTTTAATGACTTACAGAAAAGACAAACAGAAAACCAGACATTAAGACCAGAGAGACCAATGGTTAAGAAAATGGTTTTTATAGTTTTGACTCAAGGTAAAAATACAAAACATCTTTCCAGCAACATTGTATACACCCTGTATATACTGTAGTATCCTGATAAGGTACGAAAAACGATGGGGTGGTTTCAGAAGATAATTATACAAGTTTTAAAGATCCAAAGAGATTATAGTTTGTAGTAAAACAAACTCCGAGTAGATCTAGCACAGTGATAGCAGTACAACTGTTGTTATTTAAATGGAAACACTGAGCCTAAGGTCAAATACTTAAAACTGAATGTTTCCCAATGTTTTCCACCCAGGGTCAGTTAGTTGTAGACCAGAGCTGTTTTAGTGAGGTGTTATTGTTGTTTCAGTGAAGTTAACATGTGTGTAGCTCATGTTAGGACAGTGTCGGTACAAAACCAATAATTCTTCAACAAGAGATTTTTAGACGGCTTAGAACACCTTTGGTATTCGGACATTCGTGGTTACCTTTGAGGTAAGTAAATTATCCAGTAACTTTAAGAAAATAGTAGGATATTTATCTTTGAATACAATTATTCATCCATTAGAGCACGATTTTACAGTTCCAAGAACATAATTTCGAATGAGCATTTGTAAAGTTAATAATATAAAAATATAATCGTCTCTTAAAGTTTGTTTTAGCTATGATATTTTGATTGTGACATAAAATATGGTGAAATGGACCATGAGTTTCTCCATCAATGTTTCAATTTGGATAATGTGTTAGAGGACTAAATTTCAACATGTTTATCGTTTGAACGTAGCTAACGATAGCTAAGTGGTTAAAGTAACCTGGACCCAGCTGTCCCTGATCATCGGGCTTTAATAAACAACCCTGACTAATAAACCAGTTGATAACAAAGCTACACAGATCACCCACACCATCTACACTCATCCTTCACTCATGGTTTGTGGGTTTAAAATGAGCACCTAAGTGGCGTTCCCATCTCAAATAATTGATAATTGATGGTGCAACGAAACGATTTCCTATTTTCTCCTAAACGTGCTAAAACTAAAAACAAATAATGGTTTCCTTCAGGGGAATGCATCTAGAGTCAATCATTTACGCGATAAAATTCTAACCATTTGAATTAAACCCCAAACGATTAATTTACCATAAAGAGAAGTTTTGATATTAAAATCTGAATTTAACTAATTACGAAATGGATTTCTTAGCTAATGACCAGTTTTCATCATTTTTTTGTAAAGTTAATAAATGTAATAATCTTTCTTATATTTAAAAAAAATATTGTCATAGGCCCCAGTTCTACAATTCAGCACAGCTAATTGGATTTATATTAATATATTTTGGGTACAACATCGGAATTTCTGCCCCTTAAGTCTTACTGCTGTTACAGTTAAAGTTAGACTTAGTTAAACTAAGTCTAAAGTTTAGAATAGACTTCTTTGTTTTGATTTATCTTAGTTTTTTACTAGCGCAATTAATAAATTCTGGACCACATAAAACGAGAAGAAAACGAAGTCTTTGAGGAAGATTCGATGAATTCCGTACGATTTCGATGCCATCCGTCTATGATTATACATATGAACCTAGGCATTGGGCATATTTACGCATTAATATCTCAAGTAGGCTTAACAACCATTTTTCAACGATTAGTCGCACCAAAGATTACTTGGTCGCACTTATTTTGTGACTACAACTTTAAATGTAAAAGTAAGAAATGCACCAACATAAACGTGAAGGGAAGTGGTACTGAGCAATGAGGGTGTGTATCTATAATACACCTTACTAAACATTGACAAATACTCATCTATAAAAATTTAGTTTCATATAAATAACAATCTATGTTTGTTTCAGCAATATGGCAATCGAGGAGGACTTTGATTTATCAGAGCTTTTGGGAGACTCCTTGAGCTTACAATGTAACATAGCAGCCCCTGCAAGATATATCAACACTCCCGAGCTAAAAGACTATTATATGGAATTTGCACGTAAAGATGCTTACGAAATATTAGGAGAGAGAGACTTCCAGAAATGCGAGAGAGTAGAGAGTGTAGTAGGCACTCCTATCCAGGAGTTCTACCGAGGAGCTAATGTGCTCATCACAGGAGCAACAGGATTTGTAGGCAAGATTTTGACAGATAAACTGATCAGATGTGTTCCCAACATTGGCCATATTTATCTGCTGATTCGTGGAAAGAAAGGCAAAAGTTCGAAGGAGCGATTTGAAAACCTTCTCGAAGATAAGGTAAATGTGGATTAAATAGATCTATGGATTTTAGTGCTATCAAATGTCAGGTAGATGTTGATAAAATGGGTTTTGCATGATCTTTGTGAGCTAGTGGCATTTTGAGTTCATAAATTGCATACGCTTACAATGGAAAGTGATCCAAGCCCTTGATCGTTGTACTTGGACATTAAAACTGTACATACTATTAAATCTGTTTCCGACCATCTAATCAACTATGTATTTAGGTCCTTATTTTTCATCTATAAAGTTGTTTGCAATATGAAATGCTACTAGTTATATTAACAAGAACGTAGGGTAAATTGTCTGAAATAATGACTCAAAAACGCTATCTTTTTATCCTTAATTCACATTTTTGACTCAGATTATTTTTTAAAGCCCTTGAGTATGGTGTACCATAGCATCTTTTAGAGAAAACATTTATGAAACACATACGAAGCAGGTTTCAAAACCTTCTCGAGATGGGTAGGATATTGTCTAGCTCCCAACCTTCATAAGACCATACCATTCATTGCTTCCTCTAGCTCCTCTAGATCCTCTAGCTCAGAGTACAAATTTAAAAAAAATCTGTTTAGTTATACTAGTCTCTCTCATTCATGTTTATTTTTCTTCTACTATCCAGGTGTTCCGTCGTATGAAGGCTGAGGTGCCAGACTACGCCTGCAGACTGACAGCTGTTGAAGGAGACATCGGCACTCCCAACCTAGGACTGAGCCCTGAGGACCACCGCCTCCTCTGTGATGTTGTCAACATTGTGTTCCACAGCGCCGCGGACGTCCGCTTCATCGAGCCTCTCAAGACAGCCATCAACTCCAACGTCCTGGGCAGCCGTCGTGTCCTGGAGCTGGCCAAGGGGATGAAGAACCTCAGGGTATGTAGATGATTATGAACGTGGTGGATATGGAAAGGGGAGAATAAAGGGAAATCAAGGGGAATCAAGGAAAGACTTCTGAAATGACTGAAGTTCTTACTGTAGTTTATGGAGGGTGTGGATGATGAGGGGATGATGCTAAAATATACATAAAATAGTAGATTCTGACAATAATATTAAGAGCGATTCAAGAGGATAAAGAACTAGTTCAGCTTATAGTGCGAAATGATAAATAAATCAGATTTGGAGGGATGAGCACGGGTAATAAGTTATACAAATTATAAGAGTAAAAAGTGTGACCTCTTTTACCTTGCATTTGCCCGTCCACATGGGCCATTGAGGTTTGTGCGTTAATTGTATCCAGCAAAGGATGGCGCTACCGACTAAGCCACCGACAAGACCATCTTTCTTTAGTGTTGTAGCTTTAAAAAATAATGAAATATTCACCCTAATCTTTGCTCAAAGAACTTATTACCGAATCGATTCTACATGAAGCATTAGAGCCATAGTAAGTATAGAAGTTATACTGAAAAATCTAATTTAAATCTCTGAATGTTCTAAATTTTATTTCCAGACCTACATTCACGTTTCCACTGCCTACAGCCATTGTGTTAGGAGGATTGTTGAAGAAAATATTCCCAAAATTAATCTGAACTACAAAGAACTACTTGATTACATTGATTCTAAAACTGATGAGGAACTTAAAGAGGAAACCCCGAGGTGAGGAATTAAAAGTGATTTTGACAAAGAGTTGTTGGAAAGCAGAGTTAGTTCCTTGATAAACCTGTGATTTCAACGGGGTCTTTAACAGAAATATAAATAGAATTTTACTAGCGAAACATTCGGCTTTTATTGTTTTAATTATTATATTTATTTCTGAACTTAGTTGGTTGACATATACATTGTAAATATAAAATGAATACTGAAAATTGATTGATTGCTCATAAATAAAACAAATATTCCCCTTTACGCTGCACCTCATCCATATTTTATGCATACTCTTCCATTAGTGTATATGGATTTAGAATGTTTCAACCAGGAATGGATATTTTCTAAGCTAAAAATAAAGTTAATCAATAAATAACTTTTTTGTAAAAATTAAAAGTAAAATATTGATTCAAATTCTGTTTTAATTTCAAAGGTTGTAGGCAAAGTGGTATGATTAGGATAATGAAATAGATGCTAAGTAATTAAACAACTCAAAATCAATTCAAGTTTATCTATTTTAGGATGTACATGTGCTATGTAACTACTTTGGCAGACTAAATTAAAAATAACTTAAATATACTTAGAATACGTAGAATGATAAAAAGCTTACAAAAATAAAAAAAAAAACATCTCTGTGCTCCTAAAAGCATTCAAAGAAAAATCAGAAAGCGAGGATTTTTAAACAATACTGCATCATTGTTAGAAAGGGACGCTGTACGCTTCGCCACAGTACGCTTGTTTAGTTTTGTTCCTTAATTTTCCTTTGTTTTAAATACTTTTCCATGCTATATTGTCTTTGAGTTTACCCTCACATAAACAATAAGAAAACACAGTACGAAAATTTATAAATATATGTAATGCTAATAGTTTATTTCACTATTTTTTCAGACTTCTTCAAGGATGGCCCAACACCTACACATTCAGCAAAGCGGTTTGTGAGGAAATGTTGAGAGAAGAAGCAAAGGCTCTTCCTGCTTGTATCTTCAGGCCGTCTGTAGGTAAGTTAGTAAATCGGAGTATCATAAGTGGTTGTTAAAAAGTTTAAAATTCCCGCCGCTATACACCTACAGGTTATCATGTTTTTCTTTTTCATGTCCTAGGTCACTAGGCACGAGCCCGGAATAGTTTTTCACATAACTAGACCTAGGGGTTGCGGCATGATCACTTAGATAAAATTCATTGGTGATTTGGTGGGATATGAACCCGGGACCTCAGGGAACAAAGTCCCGCGCTCTATCCACAATGTTTTTCTCGTGGGAAATAAGAATCCCATGTCATTCTTATGGGGAATAAATATACTAGTTTTTTGCTTGTTTATGGATATATTTTGATCAAACTTAGAAAATTTGTTTATTCCGTGGTAAGCTGTTATCATTTAAATAAAAATCACTTAATCACCTTCCCTGGAGCAGAAACCGCACGTACTCATTTTACTTGATGTTATTTAAAAATAGGTAATAAGTGAGACAATTTAACGAAATATAATAGTGATAATACAACAAGGCAAATGGGAATTCGATTAGTCAGCAAGTTTGCTGTAACGGAGCTATTTTTTACTCATGTGTGATTCCTTTAACGATCTAAACTCATTTTCCAAGAATCACATGATTTCATCGCTGAGATACAACTTCACAGGAAGAGAATATTGTCAAGGATGTTTGACACTAAGGAGTTTATTTGTGTCGTTTGTTGCTACGAAGAGATCTAAGTCTTCCAAACTAAGAATAATCAAGCAAATAAACATGCTGTTGCTCGCAGCAGTCTTGTTATTGAGGCACGGACGATTATCAAGGTCAACATGATTAGGAAGTATCGAACTAGGTTGCTATGAGTCCCAGAATGTTATTTCATGAGAAAGTTTAGTTGTGGATTTCGATGATATTATCAATGGTTAAATCCCTAAGCTTATTACTCACACTTTGTGGTACAAGTTCACTTGACCAACGGGTGTTTCTTATTTTACATGTTTGAAAATATCCGTTGCATAGTTGCTTGAAGGGTATATTATCTATTCTATATATAATTCAGTTTTAAAAATCTTTGTACAACTAAATCTAGAGTTCTACTGGACCGATTTTAATGGGTGGATTTTATTGGGTCACACTACCGAATTAATGGGTGGTTGGAAAGCTTAATTCGTGTAGATTTGCAAATAATTATGAAAGTTTGCTTTTGTTATTATTTAAGGTGTAAAATGTCAAAAAAACATGTTTTCCATAAGAAATACATTGGAAACGGTGTTTTTCACACTTTTTATTTGAGTGAGACTTTTGGCTGCCTTTTTTAGTGTTTCCAAGAAGTCTATGGTATCAATTTGTAGGAAATTGTATTCTCTTTCATAATATTACCATCCACTTTAGTCAATTTCCTCATAGTCCAGGCAAATTAGATCAAATATAGGGTGTGCTCCCCAAAAAATCGTCTAAAGCTGGAAAGTGTTTTAATACCTTTTGGGGGTCCCGAATAAGACTCCTGTGAGTTTGCGACGGATTCTGACGTCTGCTTAAGTTTTGGGAGTCGAAAAACTATGAAAATTTTGCACTTTTTTCAGTTTTTCACTTATAACTCCTAAATAACGAATCCTAAGGAAAATGTTGTTCGCAGGTGTCTTTTATTGCAGTAAGATCCGCGTCGATTGATGTTAAATACGTCAAAATCGGCCGAGCCGTTTAGCCGCTGTAGCTTTTCAAAGTTGGGATATTTTCATCAACATGGCCAAAAGGTTGATTATTTGACCAGTTTTCGGCTTAAAACTCCTAAACGACGCATGCTATAAAAAATGCACCTGTAGTTAGTTTGGAAAACTCAAAATTCTGCGTATAATGTTTTTTTTTATTAATCAATAACGGCAATTGATTGTTACCTACTTTGTATGGACGCCATTTCATTGATAAAAGTATTAAAGTTAAAGTTGGGAAATTTTAATGAAATTGGTAACAACATAGATCCTGTCCTTAAATGGATTATGAATTATTAGATAGTGGTTTATTCCATGATGGTCATCTAGAGGTTTATCTTATAAGGTGTGATGAGAGTAAGACCCCCTATGTAATTTTAAGTCGGATATTGTTGTCTGAGGTTCCGAAAATTCTAGGATTTATCCCAACCACCCATTATATACGATCTATCCCTGTATTCATCTTTCAGTTTTTGGCTTACATCTTCTAACGCATGCTATAGAAAAAATGTTCCTGTAGTTAGTTTGAAGAGCATAAACGTCTGCGTAGAATGTTTTCCAATTCATTAAGATCGGCTTCACCATTTAACCACTATTGATTGTTAACACTAGATCAGATGCTTGTCAAGTTTAAAATCTTGCCATTGAAATCTGGCAAACAACCAGCCTAATTACCAAAAACATAGGGGATATGGCAGTGAATCTATCCACTAGTGTGACGTCATGGATCGTGCAGCATGGCCTATGAACAAGTAAGTGCTCATGAGAGCAACATCTTACTGTGGGGAGCTTTTTCCGAGATAGGGGAATCAATGATGGGGATCTAGCCCGATGGTTCGCTGGCAGGCCCATCGCAGTGAATGCTACCCATCAAGTTAAGGTATATTGTGGGATCACCTCTTCAACATATTATCAGCAAGTTGACAATATAAACTCAACGGATACGGTGGGATCAAAAATAAATACATCAAATAGTTCCAGTGTCACGACCCATTTACTGAAAGTAGTTCGCTCATGTCAATCAGCTCAGCAGTTATCCCATATGATATGATCAACTCGAGATATGTATAAAGCATAATGGAAAGGCACAGCTTGCAAGAAAATCGTAAATAGTTATTTAAAAGTTCGACAAGAACTTCTCAACTCCGTCTACCTATCTCGACCATCGTGTACATGTTAAAAAGGCTTACATTTTCTCGCTCCATATGAAATGCAGGGATATAATGCACTACCGTCTGAAAGACTTGCCAGGGGCACGATTATCTCAATTCGATATCTGACGAAAAAGATGGTACCAAATGTCACCATTTGTGGCAAGACCAATAAGAGCAAAGAATGAATCCTTATTCTTAAGATTCCAATGATGAGAAGTAGAAAAGTTATATGGTAAAATCTACGAAAAATCCCAATCGTTTTTTTTTTATATTCTAAATACATAGTAAAACTATGTACATCCGTCCTATTATCATCTTTCGTTTATTAAGCTAAAAAATTACATTTTTGCTATATTTAATAAAAAATCTTTCTGGTTGTAATATCTTATTATATTAGAATCGCTTAACATCATTCGGGAGTGTCCAGAGATGGGATCGTATAAATGGGAGCTTAGGACGAATCCTAGAATTTTTGTAACCCCCTCAACAATATTAGATTTAAAATTGCATAGGGGGTCTTGCTACCCTTCCCTTCACACATTCTTGGATAAACCTCTGGATGATAACCATTAAATAAACCACTATCTAGTCATTCATAATCATAATTCTACGCCGAATTTTGTGTTTTTCAAACTAACTACAGGCGCATTTTTTTATAGCATGCGTCGTTTAGGAGTTTTAAGCCGAAAACTGGTCAAATAATCAACCTTTTGGCCATTTTGATGAAAATATCCCAACTTTGAAAAGCTACAGCGGCTAAACGGCTCGGCCGATTTTGACGTATTTAACATCAACCGACGCGGATTTTAATGCACTAAATGACACTTTCGAACAACATTTTCCTTAGGATTCGTTATTTAGGAGTTATAAGCGAAAAACTGAAAAAAGTGCAAAATTTTCATAGTTTTTCGACTCCCAAAACTTAAGCAGACGTCAGAATCCGTCGCAAACTCACAGGAGTCTTATTTGGGACCCCCAAAAGGTATTAAAACACTTTCCAGCTTTAGACGATTTTTTGGGGAGCATATGTCTAATTTGCCTGGGCTATCACCATTTAAAAGTTATTTGCAAAAAAGGTAAGCAACCTCCGAATTTATAATAATGAGAAAATAATGAGTTAGGGATATATTTGTTAAACTTTGTACAACTAAATCTAGACTTCTACTGGACCGATTTTGTTAATTAATGGGTCATTGGAAAGCCCAACTCATGTAGATTTGCAAATAATTATGAAAGTGTGAGTTTATTAAATCTTTGAGTTAAAAAAGAAAAAAATAACAAAAATACATTAAAAACTGTTTTTTTCAAGTTATGTATTCAAGTTTCTATTTGTAGCCAGCTTTTGGCTGTCTTTATTAAACATTTTCAAGAAATGCATAGTAATTATTTGTAGTAAATTTTATTCTCTTTCAGAATATCACATCCACTTTGGTCGAATTACCCTCCATTCACAAGATATTGGCAATAATCTGAGTAATCTTCAAATTTATAGTGGTTAGAAAATACTGAATTATATGCATTTTTGTTAAACTTTATACAACTAAATCTAGACTTCTACAGGACCGATGTTGTTACTTAATGGGTCGTTGGAAAGCCTAACTTGTGTAGATTTGCAAATAATTATGAAGTTTGATTATATTACATATTTGAGGTAAAACAATAAAAATAAACAATATTACATTTAAAATGCCTTTTTTCCAAGTTGATATTTCCAAGTTTATATTTTGTAGCCAACTTTAAGCTGACTTTGTTGAGTATTTTCCAGAAATACATAATAGTGATTTGTAGGAAATTTTATTCTTTATCAGAATATTACCTTCCACTTTGGTCGATTTCCTCACAATTTCAAAGTTATTTGCAAAAACGTTAAGCAACCTCCCAATTAATAATGGTGAGAAAATACTGAACTAAAGATTTTGTACAATTAAATCTACAGTTCTACTGAACCGATTTTATTAATTAATAGGTCATTGGAAAGCCTAATTCGTGTAGATTTGCAAATAATTATGAAAGTTTGATTTTTTTATTTACTAGGTGAAACCCGTCAAAGTCTGACAGTTGCTGTTGAGGTTGCAAGCAAGACCGTTTGGCTATAAATCGATGATAAAGAACTCAATTTTTTTTTTAAATTTGGGTTGTTCGTGATTTAGCAGTGTGCTTTAGGTACGTCCGATTCAAATAATCAATAATTCAAATGGAAGCTGGTATTTCGATGAAGGTTCTTAGGTCAAAACAAATAGAATAACGTAATTAGAATCGAGTAAATATATCAAAAACTAAATTCCATATCCAAGATATAATAAAATTTATGTTTTCTGATTGAGCGATTCAGGATATCTTTAACTTAACTGATTAAAACTATCAATATCTCAAGTGAAAGCCTTTGAAGAATTTTAACACTAAGACATATAAAAATAACTCAAATAAAATTGGAGTTACGTATCATTGATTACAGATAAGTACCTAAACGATTATAATTATTGTTGATTATATTCAGCAGTGTGCTTTAGGTAGGATTATTAAGATTGGAATCTTAATAATCAATAGCTCAAATGAAAGCTGGTATTTCACTAAAGGTTTTTAGACCAAAACATATAGGGTAATGTAATTAGAACTGCTGGAATACATCTTTATTTGAAGTAAAAAATAAAAAAAATAAAATTTGAATTTTTTTCGTTGAGTAATACATTAGTTAAATTAATAGTGATGCTTGATGACAAATATATGCTTGATGACAAATATATGCTTGCATAGCTTTATTTTAAGACTAAAATATGAAAATCAGGCTGGTAGAAGAGCCAAACGAGCTCGAAAAAACCAAATTTAACTCCCATAAGAAATGTACAGGGACGCATTTTGTGCATAACTCGAAATATACGTCTAAATGAATGCCGATGATTGATGGCAAATCTGTGGTGCGTCCATACCTTTAGTTTAAGGCCAAAATTATGAAAATCGGTCGGGTAGAAGACCCTTAACCCGACTCAGAAAAGAAAAACCAATTATTTTTATATATGGCAATAATTAGTTTACCAGTATGCATAATCTAAACATACGAAACATGTATTAATAATTTAACAGCTTATTGTTATATTGCTATATTGATTTTTCTTTGATTAAATGTTGTTGTTAACAATTTGCATTTGTGTTTAAAGTGAGTTACTTATGTTAAGTATGCGATTCTAATGTTATGTGCTTAATCTGTACCATTAATATTAGTGAGTAAAGTGATGTATGGATTTCAAAACCATTATTTTACTAGAGACCGTTGTATTTAACCACAACGGGCATTGTTGCTAGTTGTGAATATAATAAAAAAAATACTTAATACTAAATACCTAAACGATTAGATAAAAAATCGGCGATTTTATTAGACAGGAAATTTAGTCTCAGTTGCATACACAATTCCTCAGTCAACTTTCCGTCAGTTGGTTTCAGTCAGGCTTCCGTCACTGTATTTACAGTGATGTTACAGTCAAGGACCTTCAATTAAAACACACCATTCTATCAAATTTTCATCTTCCATCTGTTTAATTGTTACGAAATGTACTTAGAATATAAACACAATAATTAAAAAAAAAAACTAGTTTCTAACCTCAAACACAGCCATTATTCGTCATAACAATCCAAAAATATTGGTGGGAAGAAATCTGAAATTGACTGACGGACGCCGGCAGAGTGACTGACGGGACCTGTGTCGGGACTGCACCAGATAAATGTAAATAGCGCAATAGAAAATTCTTTACAAAATAATCTTTTTAACTGTGAAGATACTGATGTAACTGGACTGTGGCGTGCCGGAACTGATGTGTGTGGATCGAACTTAATACTGCAACACTACATCAACCTTAATAGCTTATATACACAGAATACCTAACCTTGGCCGGTAGCATATAGAGCAATATAAACAAATTACTTTTCTGGCTTCAAGGTAGGTACCCGTAAGAAAAGTATAGTGGGCCAATATTTAATAATGAAGGCATTTGTATACGATACTTCCCTAAAGGGAATTCTACTCTTCTTCCCTTAAAAAATTCTGCTCAATTGACAACTGAACAATCAAATTTACAATTTCCACTTGCAGTGACCCCCACCTATAAGGAGCCATTCCGGGGGTGGACAGACAACCTGTACGGCCCAATGGGGCTGTTGGTAGGGGCTGGCCACGGAGCCCTTCACTGCTTCCACATGAACGGCGACCTCACTGTAGACACGGTGCCCGTGGACTTCGTGGTGAACTGTATGATAGCGGTGGCCTGGAGAACGGCTGAGGAGAATAAGTAAGTACAAGGGAGGGGGTTGGGTACAGAAGTAACCATACTGAAGAGCAGAAATCCCCGCATTTCATACTACCCCTTTTTTTACCCTCCATAAACTAACCACTCTCAGTTTCCCACTTCAAAACTAAAATTTCAAGGATATACTACAGAAAAAAATAACCCCAGCTAACTGTCAATGCAAAATGTTAATTACGAACATTGGTTGTCCAATACAAAATTATGGTGGCGGATGAAATATTTGGAATATTTATGTAATTTTTGTATGTAAAGTGGTGCTTATTTAAGAGAATTATAGAGGGCTCTTCATCCAAACCATAAATAAAGAAATAGGCACAAAAGGACAAATGCATCACTTTAGGTATTATTAGGTGGTATAGCCTAGATAGAGGCTGTGTATACTACTTACAATGTATAAACTCGTTCAAAGTACATATTTTCAACCTTGCACAACTGTAATTAATCTTATAAATAAATGAAGGTAACGCGAGTCATGATCGAGGTTTTATGGTGTTTAAGTTTACATCTACAGAAGTTTAGCCTATGTAATGAAAAATGTATGTAAAAGATTAGTTAGAACATATTATAATGATTGTATGTTGTTAAGAATAATTTTGAAATTGGTGATACATTTTATTAGTGGTCTATTTCAAATGCTGATCCATCCAACATCCTTTACGTGTTAAATGTTTATGTGTGATATTTATAGTGGTGATTACTTGAATGTCTTAATCATCATCTATTGATAAGTATAACTATTTCTGGATGCAGAATTTTACAAAACTGGTTAAAAAGTACATTGTTTATACAAGTAGACCAACATTACTTTGGCGAAAGTTTATTTAAAATGTGTTAACAAATTTCAACTACATAGTAATTCAAAATACAGCTAAAACCAACAGCAAAAGATTGTTTTAATTGTTATTTCCTCCTTATCGAGTCAATACATTAGTTTTTAATTTCACTATGTAAATCAGGTAAAAACACCCATCATGCAGGTAGTACTCAAAGCCTAAAAATCTCAAATATATTTTTTTTTAGGATTAGAACAAATAAAGAACCAAAAGTGTACAACTACACGTACACGTGCTTGAACCCTGGAGTTTGTTGGAAGACTGCTGTTGAATTCTCCTTGAAACTGAAAGATGTGTTTCCATTCGACCGATCTGTTTGGTACACCTCATTCTTCTATACAGAAAGCACTCTGTTGAACGAGTTCTTCTGGTATCTCCTACACAGGATTCCAGGAGCTTGCTTTGACAAACTGGCTGAACTCACTGGAGCAACCCCAGGGTACGTTTTATATAGATAAATCTACTTTAAACTATACTAGAGAACTCAAATGCCGCATTTCAGTATTTTTGTAGCAAAATTACCCTATAAGGGAGTAATCTGGTAAGACCTAGACCCAAGACCGGTTTACTTTTTCGTTTTGATGTCACCAGAGGGCAAAACACCAAACGTTCAAATTCATATACTTACATACGTTTGCAGGATAACTAACTGTACATTCAATATTACCCAGTCATGTCATCCCATAGCGAGTCTTATGTTCCTTACTTACTATTGTTATGTATTTTTATATTGCATCATTGGCTTTATTATTTGTATTATTTTTTTACTTATAGTTGTTGCATTTCACATTGTTGTATCAACGATGTAAATAACTACACCTACAACTTTGCTGTATGCTAGTTGTTTATATGCTGTATTATCTGTTGCTAAATAATTGAAATTCACACCGCACACGTCCTTAATATACTTTCTCATTGTTTCTTGCTTATCTTCGTAGTGATTTATTTGTTATTATTTACTTTGGTTATTGTTCTTAATGAACTATAATATTTTTATGTACACTAGCACTAGCATTCACCTTATGTTGTACAATGCAAATGGTTTTCCTTAAGAAAATAATATAAATAAATGAAACTCCCCTAAAATGATCCCAATTCCACAAAGTTTGGTACAAACGTGTAAATAACCTACGTTTATTCAAATGAGTTTGCAAACCAGTACGCCTGGCCAAGAGAAAATGGGTTTTATAGGGTGAAAATTGGTTACACTATGGGTTTTATACATGAGCTCAAATGTCTGTTGTATAGGAGGTAATAACCTCGAAGTTTAATGATACAATATTTTTAGCTAATTTCAAAAGGGGCCGGAAGAAAATTATTTCAACAAATATACTAAGTAAAACCAGTAACACCTAACATTAGCTTAGCCTGTCAATATAAATACATTTTATTGCTTTTTCACACTGAATAAGACCTTTTGTATTTCCTACATGTGGGTATAACTTAATGTTAGGCCTTACTTCCAGATTGACGAGAATCTACGAAAGAATAGAAACACTGAAGGAGCAAACTGACTACTTTTCCTTCCAACAGTGGGTGTTCAAGAATGACAATGTTATGGAACTGTGGCGGTCTTTGAGCGAAGAAGACCAGAAAATATTTTACTTTGACACAAGAGAAATTGATCTAAAGTTACACTTTATAATTTCAAAAGTTGGAGTCAAATACTACTATTTAAAAGAGAAGATAGAAGATATTCCTGCTGCTCACAGGAAGAATAGATGGTATGACTGTTTATAGGTTCATTTTTGTAGAATTATTCATCTAATTTTAAACTTAGTACATTAAAAACCAAGGTTGATGTTAAACCTATGCTTAAACATACAGCCGAAAACTAAGGCATTTTTTTTAAGATTGTAAATTACTAACTTCTAGTAAGATGATCGATTGTCTGGTCGAAAAAATCTTTATTGCACTATATCTTTCATATATGTCACTTTGTAGTCAGTTTTTACCTGTGTTGAGACGTAAAAAAGGGTTGGAAGCAATAGTAAATAACTTAAATAAAGATTGTTTTCGTACACCGTAATTTTACTTGAAGTGAAAAAAAATACGAAGGATTAAGTAATAACGTAATTGCTAAGCAAACCCAACACAGTATCACCAGATAGATGTCATAATCTTTAGAAAATGCACAGAGAATTAAGGAAGTCACTTTTATTTTTCTGTGGTAATTTTAATTGAAATATTTTTTTCGATTTCAATTTTGGGTGAAATATCCGTTTTAGGCCACCTTGAACTTATAAAATTGGTTTTCGAAGGGGTTTAAATCTCCAGGGGTTAAATTCTTTTCAAGTTTTTTTCCAAATTACAATTTACCAATAAAACCCATAAAATAACATGAAATTGGATTGACAAATTGCTAGAAAGATTTTGATAGCATTAAGTAAATTTTGGCCCACTTTAACTCTTAGGAAAATGGTTTAACAATAAATGCTGTAAAACTACGGTTCAAACAGTATTGAAATTTTTTTATTACCCACAAAGTTATCATAATTACTCCTATAAATTACCCATGATAAGAATTGTCGGCAATCTAATGTGTTAAAGTATATGTCAGGCATGATTTTATTTTGCATTTATCCAATCCTCCACCATTAACTGGTGCAATATGAATTAGAACAAATAATAATTTTTAGTTGGTCGTTCTTATTGATGTCTATGATTGAGATCGTAGTTTGATCCATCATTTCTATCTTCAACGTCTAAAAGTTCGCTCTTTTTCAGGTTGTACTGGATCCACAACTCGGTAAAACTCACATGTTCTGTGTTGGCTCTCAAGCTACTGGCAATGACTGCAAGAACTCTACCCTTCTAATATCTCTCTTAACGGCTAAGATACTACTAGATGTGTAGGGACATTGACTGAAAACAATATTAACTGATTAGTAAACATTAATGTCTTAAGCAATAAGTTACAAAAAAAAAATAAAAAAAATGATAGAACTTCAAAGTACTTTCACTTTTGGAAATTATCTTTCTGCTCTGTAGCAGTATTTTCAAAAGTAAAACGCTTTTACTTAGCAAAAGATATATATATATATATATATATATACATATATAACTCTAGTTCCAACAATTGAATGAATTGAATAGTGGAACGACCACTGTCTCCAGAGTGTGTTCTTCATTTTCCTCTTCCATTGCTTCCAAAGTGACAATAGGATTTAATATAGCATCTCTAGGTACAGAAAAATCTTCATCGGGGTTGACAATGATGTTAGCTGAATTATTTGTCTGGTTACATCTCAAGTTTGAGGCTCTTGTATTAGATTTTTTGCATTATTTACCTTTAAGGTTGCAACTGACTACGATAAGATCCCCGTGCGTAGAACGGGCAGACAGCTAGTATTACAGATAAAGCTTGTAGAGTTATTGAGTTTGTTGGCGCGCGTTATGAATGTAAGTTATTATGGTATGGTCACTTCCATCTTTTGGCATTATAATGGTACATAATTACAGAATATTTGAACTAAGTTAACATCAATTAGTTTTGATCGTGCCATAGGTATTAAACGGCAAAACAGCTTTATTTTAATACAAACTCATATTCCTGTATAAATTAAGCGACATTTGACACTCTAAATTATACAGTGTTATTCATTTGACATATAGTGTATAAAATAATTCACTTTCATCATAACTCGTTTTAAGCATAATTAATCAATAAATAAAATTGACCCTCAATCCCGAAACTTTTAAAGTCTTTATGATGAAAATATTTGTATAGTTTGTGTTAATTTATTCATAAAGTCTGTTACGTGATGTAAGAACATTTTTGGCACACAATTCATAACCATGTAGTGACATTTTGAATGCATTCATGTACTTAATAGAAACCTTTGTATATGTCTAGTCACCATAAAACAAAGTGTTAATTTAGTTAACACATTAACAAAGTGTAAGCTAAACACATTACAGTTATAACAAAAAATTTAATTAATTTTAAGAACAAGAAACTTTCCAGTTGTATGTTTTAGAACCTCTAAAAGACTCCTAGCATGACAATATTTTAGTATTGTTCAAATTAGTAGTTTCTCAAACGTATTAACTGATGTATCCAGTGTTTAACGAGAAGACAATTTTTATTCACAAATCCTTTTATGAACATGACAATATTGAACTTCTACCCTCTCTTGACATTTTCATACCCGGTTTCTTTATGTTTCATATCGCAATATTAATCCAAAAAGTGAAATGTCTCCGACCCTATTGGTTATTGGTTCTATTGTAGAGCTCAAAATTCAATAAAGAGTATCACTTCTGTCAACAGCCTGAAATTCATTTCCGCCGAATGTCAGTGAACTCTGACCCCTTTAGTTACGCCGTTTATATAAAATCAAACTTTGTAAAAAAAAATTGAAATAATTTTTTATCAATTCTATATAGCATACATATTTTGATAACTTTTGATTTTGTAAGTTGTTATAAATTAATTGCCTGAAAGTACAAAAACACTTAGAATAACACGTGTAGTAATATATCTATACTTTTACTGTTTACTCACTAGACGTATAAAACATGGTAAGTAGTGATCGATTTCGATTGGACACTCAAAACATTGTCAGGCCCAATAGGCGAATTATTGGGGGAACTCATTCACCTATTGGGTCTGATCATGATTGTAGTGTACAATCGAAATCGATCACTGCCTACCTACCATCTTTTATATAAGGTTACTGTCTTGTGAGTTAATAGTACAGGTGAAAATTTTTTATTACAAGTTTTATTTGTCGTGTTTTGTACTTTCAGGTAATGTATAACATGTATGATGCTTATCAAGAAGTTATTAATTAATTAGTTATACCATTATATGTTTTACGAAAACATACGTCACCTATTCATGAAGAGCTTAGAAGCTTGACAATGTAAATTTAAAATTTTTAGAGGTAAAGGGACCATGACATTTTAATCAAAATTGTTCGAGCCGGTTTTGTGAACATTACGAGTGTTCGTTATCTCACGGGGTTTTATGGGAAAATTCCCATTAATCGAGATAAAAAAAAAACAGGAAATACCATGGATTTGAACCAGTGGGGTGGAACCAAATGAAATATTTCCATCCTAACTCAAAATAAAAAATGTTGACGAAACACTACGTTCTCCATATAATATGTATAGGTGGATAAAGTAAAATGTATGTAAACAGACATTTGGCTAAACTTTATATTTGCGTGCAACGAGTAATAGCTTGTAAGCAGTTGGAAAATAGAAACATTATACGTATACAATTTAATTGGTTATACTAAACTATCGTAGTTGCAACGAAAATTTGGGGTAAAAACTATTTCACATCAATTTCCTAATTTAAAATTCAAACTAGGAGTTAACTTACACAATAGACTGCATATGTCTTAGTCTATATGTTAACATATTAAATTATTGTAATCTAATTTTGAAGCTGGTTAGTAATGTATAATTTACACTTTTTTGCACCTAATAACTTAGCAAATTAAATTTTCAATCGAAAGTTTACTTTTTATCACTGACTGAATAATACACAGAATACCTATTACAAAAATCTATTCTCTGCTCAAAATCTGTTTTTTTCATGCTTTAAAGGCTCTTTGACTTTTTATTTCTTTATTTTATAATTCCTACTTTATTCTAGAATAAAAAAATAAAAAACTTCTATTCTATACACCAGGAATGCAAAATGTTTGCAATTATTTTTTGCACAACTTTACATGTTTCATAAAATTTATTTTGTGCAATTTAAAACGAAATATACAGAACCGTTTTGGTCTTTTAACAAATAAAAATCCCCGCAAGAATTATTTGGCCGATAACGCTTAAAGCGATTGGACGGGCTTGTTTTTCGTCACAGACAGTTGATGTTATTGCGCAGGTTCTGGATTGCTTAAATCAAGTTGTTTTCACCCCTGAAATCGCCACCACAAACGCCACCCTTATCTCGTTCGCTCTAATTTGTTGTGTGATCGTTTTGGGTTTTAACGCAACTCGTATAAATTGAAAGAACTTAGTTAAATAAGTATCTTTATTTTTTGTCTTTAATTTGTATATACCAAGGCAAAAAACGTGGTTCGGATTCCACTACCTATAAACTGTAGGTCCCTTAGTTGCCATTAGCTGTATGGGCTATTAATCAGCTGTGTCTAAGGAATGTCGGCCTTAGTCACTAACAAGACTACAAGATCACGCCACTCATCCTACACTCATCCCTATTCATACTTGGCTTAAAATACTTACTCTGTATGATCGCCATTTCATGAAAAAGTATTAAATTAAAAAGTAAAGTATTAAAGTATGAATGAAAAGAGACATTTTTGAAGCTAAATTGGGTTTATTTATGAATTTATTTCGTACGATAAACACCATTTTTACTATTACAGTACCATACAAATTCAAGATGGTCTGTATCTACAATAATATTAACTTAATATACAATGATAAAAGGAATCACAAAAAGGTACTTATTATATGCCATTACGGGTTGCAGGAAATCTATCTCGTCACTTATTAATTATCTCCTTAAACATTATATTATTTATTTAACTGTAATTTTTAATTTGCTGTATGAATGAGCTAATCGAAATATACTTAATTATTGTGTAGACATGAATATACAACAGTGGTACTATGTTGTCAACTTATATACAGAGTGCTTATTAGTGATAGTCCGATTGAGTACCTGTTTAAAATAGTCTAAAAATAAATGTTTATAATAATTAACACTAACAAATCAATCTTATTGTTTGACAATTCTGAAAAGGGTTACATAATAAAATTATTCATAAAATAAAAATAAAATAAAAAAATCAAATAAAAAAAAGATAAACTCATAAAAGTTTTACATTAATAGACAGAGGTGATTGCATATAGTTATTTACGTGAGTTATAATACACATTTTTATATTGAGTTATTAATATTTTTCCTGCATATGTCACAAGTTTTTAAACTAGTTGTTGAATGCAATGAGCTCAGAAAGAGTATCTTAAGTTATCAATGTAATCAAAAATAAATCTTAGATGTCAATTATTTTTAGTTTGAATTATTGTAGACTAAACAGAATTGGCTTGTAATGTTATCTGTAAAAAGGTCAAGGTTCCAAACACATTGCAGACCCGATAAGTTGGTGACGTATTGAACGATTTTGTTTTTCACCGCGATTGTCATTTAGTGATAATGACATGAAGATTGGCAACGGTGTGTTTTGAAACAACACTTAGTGATATGACAATAAATAAAAACATATGCTTTTAAGAGTTATTAAATACTTGTTTGTAATGGTTTTTAAATAAAGGTAGTTATTTATATACAGTGTGATTGAAAAGTTCCGGAACGGTTTAATATTTAAAAAAATAATGCAGATAGAGCTAAAATACTTGGTACAAAGTTACAGGGCATAAAAACTCTATTTTAACACATATTCAGTGACTCAATAACTCTTCAGGGGGACGTCCCACAAGGAGTCAGAAGAAAATCTAGTAGGATACAATGCCGCAAACCGCACTTCAAAAGGTCGATCCTGCGCAAAATGACAGTTATTCAAAGATTCATTTAATTTACATTGCTATTATACGCTTTCTTCTCAGGGGTCACAGCCCTAGGAATCGGAAGAAAATTGTTAACGTAAGAATAGGTCGATATGCACATCAAATTAAAGGTCTTCACTTTTAGATTACGATGCCGTAAATTCAAGCTCAAAAGAATGCTTGAGTAAAAAATGGCAGTCGTTCAAAGATTCAAAATGGTGGGTTCAAGAAATTTTTGAACATCTGCCATTTTGTGCAGGGTCAACCTTTTGCAGTGCGGTTTGCGGCATTGTATTCTACTAAAAAATGCATTTAATTTGATGCGCATATTGACCTATGCTTCCATTTAAGATTTTCTTCCGACTCCATGTGGGCCATCCCCCTGAAGAATTATTGGATCACTGAATATTGTTAAAATAGAGTTTTATGCCCTGTAACTTTGTACTAAGTATTTTACAATTGTTTAATCAATTG